GGGGGGAAGCAGCACAAGGAGCAAATAAGTTGAGCTACAGTGGTCATGTGATAACAAAGAACATGCTGATGGGAGGAGACAGCAGACTGACATAAGAATGAACTTATCAATATGATGCTACTCTTTCACTGTCCTGTGACAGCCTGGAGGCAAAGACAAGGCTAAGTTGTGGTACTTAATTGCAGCAGAGAAAGTTCAGATCACTGGACTGGATGAACAGACGTATAAATCATTTGTCAGATAAAACTGTTCTCATTAGTATATTCCATATATGTATTTTACTGTCTGTTTGAAGTTTAACTTTAAATAAACTACTGTGAAGATCAGACAGATGTGAAATACCGTAGTACATAGCAGCCAATCAGATATCAGTTTACTGTAGTCAGATTACTGAAAGATGGTTTGAATGATCATTATGGCTTACTGCATTTTGCACTGATGCTCTTTGCACTGATTGCACTGATTCCACTTCCTGAATATGCCCTTTCTCCTTATTTAGATAAGGCTTTTCTATCTTTACTGACAGTATGTAGTAGAGAACTTTTGATTTATTTCTAGATTTATTAGTGGCCAAGAGAATTTTATGCCAAGAAAAAAAAATGCCTCATGAGCTCTTCCAAGGAAACAGGACATTTATTTCCTTGATAATGAGTTTCATAGCCCACAATATGATAGGAGTTGGAGAGCTTTTGTGGGCTCTGAAAAATTGAGCCTGCTTCATGTCTGGAACAAATGAGACCAATATTTGTAATGGAGCTGGCCCTGTGGGAACATTGTATTTGATGGAGCTCATACAATGGTTTACCGGAGCATTTTCAATTCTCAGCGGACTGCATAGCAAGGTGGTATAGTACTGCCATCAAATTTCTCACATCCATCACCTTTCCTGTTAATGTGATCCCTTTACGCATGCTGTAGATACAGATCTGAAATGTGCAAAGGTAAAGGGGAATAGTGCCAGTAATAAAACCGCTGTGGTCATGATGATAGAAAGTGACAAAGGAAGGAAGGAGACAGGCGGTCAGGCTGATTGCATTGAAATAAGAAGAGTGGCAGCCACAGGGAGAGCTGCTAAAGAAGAACTGTCAGGCAGTGTATACATTGTGTATTGTTATTTAAATATAGGCACAGTGCTTTAGATAACTATTTTTATTCATTGTCAGCAATCATTCCAAAGAGATGGGATTTTTGCGGGCTGTTGTAAGAATTTGCATCAGATTAGAAATGAGACTTCCATAAAGGAAGAACAGTCCCCATTTCTGAAATGCGCAGTTACAATTTTCCCATTATTTTGATTTCTCTAACAGCTAATATGACCTACAGTTTTATACTGTTGGCCGAATTTGCACTAATGGAGCATTTATACATTTGAAAATTATTTTCAATCTAATTATTAGACAAGCCTTTATGTAGAAACAAGCTATTAAAATAGCTGATGAAAGAAATCACATTTAGCGTTAAGTTGATATTTGTATTTTTGGAAAACATTTTTTAAATGTAATAAAATACAGAGTGAAATAATGTGCAGTATCTCGTAACAACCAATCAGAACTTATCTTCCAGCTTTAGTCTTGTCACTGAAATATGATTCTACCCATATTTATAACCAGTTTTCAGTGTGCCCTTTGTGGATAACACTGTGCTCTTGCAGTCCTGAAACACAAACATACTGGTGGGATTACTGGATTCTGCACAAGATGGCCTTGCTGTTTATGTGTGTTCCAATTTGTAAAGCACTTACTGGGACGTTTGTCTCTAAGCCTGACTTGGGCAGGGGCTGATGTGCCTGATGTGCCTGTCCCTGTCAACTGCTCTGTAGTATTTGTTGGTGCTATATAAACATATAAACATAGAAGAGTGATGTGGTCCATTGAATCTGTCTTAGAGTTACTACATTTTGTAAGTATAGAGTTTTCTCAGGATAGACCTGTTTATGCCAAGCATTTTGATTTCACTTGACTGACTCACTATCTCTCCTGGAAGAGTGTTCTAATATCCACTACTCTTTTCAGCAAAAAATTATTTCTAAGGTTATTTTGACATTTCCTTTGTTAGTTTAAGATCATACCCCATGTATACCTTATTTAAATAAAATAACCACTTTGACTAGTACAAATATGATGTACATTTATATTTGTGTTTTTGTTTTTCCTTTGTCAAGATGTCTAACAGGGCTGGACGGCATTATTTTCCATGGCATGAAAGTGTTAATACAGCACGTATCAAACTGAAGAGCAACTTGCACATCACACATCCTATCATGTCCAAAGTGCTGCTTCACTTCTATACAAAGTATGACTATTATTGCTTCAATTTTTTTTTGCCCAACAAGAGCCGCACTCAATGCTTTCTCCAAATAAATCCAAATTGTATTTCAATCCATGAAACATCATACACCTTCCAAAGCTCCCCAGAACAAAAGAAACTCTATTCTGTTATTGCTTCTACAGTACATACTTAGAGGGAGTTATCTTAACCGTTATTGTCTGCATTTTATTAAAATGTATCCTTGGTCTGTTGATTTTACATTTCTTGGGACATTAATATTTGCACAGCAAGATCTAGTAAACATTTCTTAATTTGTACATCTATATCACTTGCTTATTTAATTCCCCTCCTGCAAATAAACTCAGTAAACAAACTCTACCAAAGATTAGTGATGATCAAAACAAGGAAATCTGGAATCCATATTTTTTAGATCTAACTGACTAATTTCAGCAGAAAATCACACAATTTAGGAATATGGGCGATTATTATTCTTGAATTGTAGGATTTTCTGCAGACAAATTGTAATGCATAAAAACATTTCACATTTAACATATCTGATTTCAAAGCAGTTCACTCATCGCAAATTGGGAGTTTGAGAAAAAGAAGAGGACCAGTCAGATTATTCCTCTACTTCTTCTAGTGCATATTATAAAATTAAATACTGGTCGCTACAGGCAACACCCAATTTTCTTTGCTGCAATTATTATAATTTTCTGCCACTGTGTATGTGCAGGATACATCTTACTATGTTTATTTTTCATTAAGCTTTGCACAGTGGTAAGAAACAGAACAAAATACCATATTTTGTAGACACTAACATTTTGGTTTATTTTTGGGTAACTAGTTATCACAATTTAATCTTCTGCCAAAGCCATCTACTAGCTTATGTTTTTCAGAAAAACTGTATTTTAGTACATTACCAGCTTCTTTATGTAGTTTCTTTTTTTTAATTTTCTCCCTACCCTGTGATCTTTCTGACATATTTATTGTAATGCAAGGCAGCTCTGGCAATACACTAATTTAGTTTTCCTGCCCCATAAATGTTACCTTTTACAATTTCAATGTTTAGACCCTGGGAGTGAGAAAAATGTCATCAGCTCAGAGTCTCAATGTACTTCTATTTGAGTTGCAACGTCTCTTGAGCATGACTCTTTTTCTACTTTTTATTGCAACTGCCTGCTATAAAGGGAATCTCAAGTCTATTTGTAAAAAAATAAATAAACAAATAAAACCCCTCATGATAATGATGCAAGCCCCATGACTCAGCAGATACAGATACATAATTGTATGTAAACAGTGTGAGGAGGGGGATAGTCATAATCTTTAGGAAATAGGTGATGATTATGCAACATAAACTTCATACTAAAAATACCCTGCTCATATGGGCTTGTAAATTCCTAATTTGTATTCCTTTACACTCACAAGTATCTCCTATTCTAGAGCTTGTCTTGTCATTGTTCTTTAGGTATGCAAACTTTAGACTACTCAATATGGTCGCCCTTATGAATATTGTGCCCATGAAGCTGGATGAGTTCATAAATCACATAAGAAATGATGTCAGAAAGAAATCTGAAGAACTCAAAGAGACATGGCTTAGAGACTGCTGTAACACTGTGACTCAAAACAGAGAGAACATAGAATCTGAGATGCCACAAGATGAGGTGAGCATGTGCTTTTATTAGTATCTTAGGTTGGATGTTATTTATGCTGTGTTATGTAAAGGGAATCTAACCACATCACATTCATTCTAGGTGTAAATACTAAAAGATACACAGATTTTGTTAAATGTATAAACATATACGTTTTCTAGGAGTTTTTAGTTTTTTTTAAAACTGATAGTATTGTGTTGTGTTAGACACGTTTTTTTGGGAACAAGTGTAAGGTCTGAGCAAGTAAAGTATTGGTGTGGCATTATTGTTGGGGCAGTGATGGCAAATACAAATAGTTAGAGCTGTCACAGAAAAATACTGCTGTGTCTCTGGGACAGGAAGTGAATGGAAATCTTCCAGATGGGGCTCAGACTACAAAAAATAAAATAAAAAACTGAGAGGAGTTTTAACCCTTCCTTACTGTATCAGATCAGATATCTAGATCAGCCTAAATGTCTTTGTCTTACATGTTAAGAATAGATTACAAAATAGGGGTGAAGAACTTGTTTTCATGGTGATATACACTACCAGTCAAAAGTTTTATAACACCCCCATTTTCCAGTTTCTATTGAAATGTAAGAAGTTTAAGTCTAGTGAATAAACTGAAATGGTACAAAAGGTAAGCTGTAAACTGCCAGAAGTGGGGAAAAAAGTTTGTTAACAAAAACTGGAAAAATAATGTACATTTCAGAGTTATACAAAAGGCTTATTTCAGAGGAGAAGTAATGGGTTAACAACTCACAGTTGTTCTGCAGCAATGTAAATTAAGCATTGAAAGTTTATGCTAACAATTCCTACAAGTGTCCCAACTTTTATTGATTACTTACAACCCCTATATCTGTACAAAAGCAGTGTTGGAACGGACATTGTTTCTTAGGCAATGTTTTGAAAGTATTGTACTGCAGGAAGTAGTATATTGCTCTCAAAATAGTGAGAAAAAGGCCATTAGCAAAGTACGACAGTCATTATAACCCTTAAAAGTGTAGGTCTTTCCTTTAGAGAAATTCTCATAGAAAGCCAAGGTATCAGTGAGTACAGTTTCCTTTTCATCAAAGGGCACTTGGAAACTGGAATAAACTCTGACAGAAAGAGGTCTGGCAGATCCAAAGCCAAAACAGAATCAGAATGCAAGTTTCTGAGAGTCAACATCTTGCGTGACAGGCGGCTCACAGGACAACAGCTTAAAGGACAGTTTAACACTGGTTGAAGTAAGCGAGTCTCCGTTTTAAATGTGAAGAGAAGACTTCAAGCTGCAGGTTTAACAGATTAAGAGGCAGTAAAAAAAAAACAAGCTTGCCTGGGGCATAAAGTACTGCCAGTAGACTACTGAAGACTGGAAGAAGGTGTTATGGACTGATGAATCAAAATGTGAGATCTTCAGTTCATCACTCAGGGTTTTTGTACGCCGTTGAGTAGGCAAACGTATAGCCTCTCAGTGTTTGACACCAACTGTCAAACATGGAGGAGGAAGCATGATGGTCTTGGTCTCTCTTGCTGGCTCCAAGGTCTGCGACTTGCAGAGTGAGTGGCACCCTGAACCAAAACTACTACCACAGAATTTTGCAGTGCCATGCAATAACATCTGGTGCATGCCTAGTTGGTCAGGGGTTTATACTACAGCAAGAATACAACAAAACATAGGCTATGCCAGAACTAACTTAGAAGAGAACAAGATGGTAGGCTTCAAATCATGGGATAGCTATTACACAGGCTCCAGACTGAAAGCTGGTGTTGGATGAACTGGACAGATGGGTGAAACCAAAGCAACCTACAAATGCAACACATTTGTGGGAACTTCTGTATCAGCATTGGGAAGAACTTTCTGAACAATATTTAATTTCCGTTGTAGAAGAATGCCAAGACTGTGTTCGGCTCTTATATCTGCAAAAGGTGGCTACTTTTATGATTCAAAAATTTACATTGCATTTTGTTAAAGAAAACAATTTCATGATTTATTTTGGATGTCCAGTTGTTTATTTGTTGTATGCTTTATGCATCAGAGTACATTGAGACATTAAACTGCGAAAATTTCAATAACAATTGGAAAAATGGAGGTGTTATAAAACTTTTGATTAGTAGTTTATGTTTCTACAAAATTTGAATGGTATAGAGTAACCCAGTCAGGGCAGTGGAAATGCAATTTGCTTCATATCATGCATTTAAATTAAGGTAAAATGGTGTTCTGCCCTCTCTGCGTATGCTGTATGTGTCAGGAGATTTTTTTACATTTCCTTTAATATGGAAATCTACACACACACATGCTTACTATAGACAAAACGAGAAAGGGCTTTGCATGGGGGTGGGGGTGGTAACATTTTCACATGTGTTTTTCTGAGCCCCTGCCACATCAAAGCTAGTTTTAGGATTTGTTCACACCAATGAGCTACGTTTTCTGCACACCATCTAACATGTATGATGGGAAAGGGGCACATGTAAGACAATTGTTTTCTATGTGCCCTGTTCACACCATACATGTGCAGTGGTGTGCAGAAAAACACAGCTCAATGGACATGGTGTGAACATACTCTAAAGCTTAACTGGTGGTTTTGTTTGTTTCATACTTTTCACAAAAGCAGTAACAAGTATATATAGTTATTGATAATATATAGTTATTGTGAACAGACTTATTGATTTGCCACTTCCCAGTTTCCTCCCTGGGGAGAGTTTCCAAATACAGTAGAAAAACCGAGTTAAAAGATTCAGCAGATCTATCAATATATATATATATATATATATATATATATATATATTATCTATATATATCTATATATAGATATAGATATATATATAGATATATATTAGAAAATATACACATTAATTGTTAAAATTTGGTCTCAAGAAGGCCAGTCAGAATGGTGGTGTTCCATAATACTTACAAATAGAAATGAAAGCACAATCACATATCTTAATTCAAAACAGAATACTTTTTGACCAATAAACAACACACAGTAAACAATAGAGAATACTTGCATAGTCAGTCAGGCTGAGTCCATAGAGTTCAACCTATAACCAATGTTCTTCCAATTTTAAATGCTATTACTTTATTTATTTCAAATGAATCAAGATCTTAATCCTAAAGAAACTTGATTGGGCAGCTTTTGTTTGCTACTGTGCAACCACCTATTTGGCAAGAGTGGCAACATTTATCTCCTGTCTGACTGCCCAACCCCTGGAATCTGTGCCAGTTCTGAGGCAATCTTGTCAGTGCATGGACTTGTGCATGTGTGCAGTCTACTATGAAAGTAGCACAATGTTCAGGAGTTAAAACTCTGGAGTTAGGATGTCACTGGACAGGGAGACTTGGCTACAAAATGTAGGATTCATCCTGATGTGTTTTTTTAAGGATCAAAATTGATATTTAGTTTTTTGCAGTTGTTGAATAGATAAAAAAACCAGCAGCATTTTGTTTCCATCAAGGACTTCAATGCTGAGCATAGCAGTGTTGAGGGGTTGCACAATTTCCATTGAATTTGATAATACAGAGTAGTTGGAAAAACCTAGAGCAGCAGAACTGACTGTGACTCCATTGTGGTTAGGGACAAATCTCATAACTATAGTGCTTTGATCATGCTGCTGGTGCATGCAAGAAATATAGGTCAGCGGGCCAACCAGCCTACCAGATAGCACCCAACACTACAAATAAATGTCACTTTTGGATGAACTGAACCTTTTAAGTGTGCCAAATTATGGCAACTACAAGTAAAAAGTGTACTGCACACATTACCTAGATGTCTTCTCATGAGGGCTGTTAGATTTATATTTATATAGTTATAAACGTAGTGATGGTGTCAGAAAAAAATCAAAGAAGCTGTTCAGGATTTCACCTTTTATCAGCCTGGAGTATTGATGAGTTGCTATGGATTACAACAATTTGCTTATTGAGTAAATAATTTCATAGGTCTAAAAATGTTTCAGCCATGTAGGTAAAATATGGCAGTAAAAATGTTAATGCTCTGTGTGTTAAAAGAGCAGGTACAGTGCATGCACTGTTGCATTTTTCCTGCTCAGTGTGTTGCTTATTCTACAATTTAGCATTTATGTGCTGCACATTTACTTCAGATTTATACAAAGCCTAATGTGTTGTATAGATTATGTTTAATCAACACTTTACTGTTGTATATAACATGTTTTAACACTATTTTTCTGGTATTGTATATTACACATTTGACTGAACCTGGTTGGAATGATTGGTAAATAATCTTGATGATAATGTTTGATTCAGTTTATTAAAATCACCTATTGCCACAGTGGTCCTAAATATGCTGGTAGCCTAACTAATGTTTGTTTTAATAATGCAGTCACTTTAGTGCAGGGGTCAGCAACCTTTTCGAAGTTAGGTGTAGTTTTTATGAGCAAAATTGGTGTTCCAGTGAACAATGGTACACCATAGTCATATATGAGTATAGTTTGTTTTCAGGTTTTTGCACACGCTTTGCATTAGCAGTTGTACTGCTCATGGTAATAATGCTAATTATTATATTGACTAGTGTAGAAACAAAACATGTTTATATTTAGACCCCAGACCATCCCCAATTTCTGTACCCTCAGAACTCAGATCAGCCCCAATTTATGCACATTGGGACCTCAAATCAGCCCCAAGTGCTATACCTTCACACCTCAGATCAGCCCCAATTTATCCACCTTTGGTCCTCGATTTAGCTCCAGTTTCTGCACCTTCACACCATAGATCACCCCCAATGCATGCACCTTCATGTCTCGGATTAGTCCCAAACCGTGTTATTATTATATTCTAGCTCAAGCTAGATAATGTAGTAAAGTGCCAACGCCTACCTGCCTCCATTATCACTGTGCTCTCCCTGAATTGAAAACACTCCACTTTAATTTCCCTGTGTGGCAATCCAACTTCCATGAGTTCCTGGCTGCCATAGTGATGCCCAGAGAGCTTGGAAGATCTTCAGGATGCTAAGTGCTTAGGCAGAACCACCACTAATGGGTGCTGCTTTTGCACAGGAGGAAGTGTCCTCAGTTCAGAAGAGGCAACAGGCAGTGGGTGCCACTGAAAAAGGCTTCTGGGGGTTGCTAACCCTCGGTCCTTAGTGATTATCTTTTGTATTCTGCTATTTTGCTACATAGGTGAAAATATGTAAACATGAACCTTTTTTAATTTTACCATAAAAATGTATACCATGTATTTTATAAATTGTATTATTTCTCAATAATATCAGATACAATCAAAACATCATTTTATTTCATAGTAAGAAATGACTCTCATTGTATAATACATGTGTTTCAATGAAATCAAGAACGTTTTTAATGTACATGTATATATGTTTTAGACAGATGTGTTTCAGAGTCAATATTTTGTGAACACTTTCACAGAAGATCATATCACCTTCCTCTTTAAAATTCTATAACTGTGATAGATAAATCCACCTTTGTCATTTGTTCAGTGTCACTATTGTCATGTGAATTATTTGCATTAGCAGCAAAGCAGTAGAATAGTTTTCATTTTTATTTTTTAAACCAGAAGTTACGAAGGAAAAAGATGGATCACTTATTCTGCTGCTTAGCGACACTAATGTCCAATCTTCAGCGAAGTATAGTAGAAGCCTCTCTAATGGACCTTGTGAAGATGGTTGAAACATATGGTGATGGAAACAACTATGAAGGAAATTACCCACCAGATAATCTTTGGCTCCCAGAGAAACCTCATCTGATTTTATTATTTATGGTATGTGTTAAAATATTTACATTTTATTTTGTGTCTGTAACAAGTCAGTTAAAGCAGGACACCAGGCAAAAACACCTAATCCAGTTATTAATTCATAAAAAAAAATATTTTTAAATATGATTGGCATAATTACCTAGATTGTCTTTGTATTGGCTGTAATCCCCTTCCCAGCGGCACTATAGCTCAAAGAGAGAATTTCAATACTCAGCCAATGGGAGTGCTATTATTTTGCATAGGGATCTAACAGCCTAACACAGTTAATGTGCTTACAGGAGTGGAGAGCACAGGAGTGATTTCACTAGCTGCTACTTCTCCTTCACTGGCCAATCAGTAGGATGGGGAGAGACAGAGGGCAAAGAAAGCAAAATTTAAGCAGCTATTTTTTCTTTTAGTCCTCTTTAGGATGAGTTATTATCCCTTACCTGGATTTCATGGGGAGAAAGTTTTTTAAATGTGCAGCATGTAGAATGTTTGCAGCTCAGAAAATAAACTACGACATAGCTAAGGGACATTTAATTGAGATCCTGACATTATGACTACTTGATTGAGTTCTACTTTAATGATGTGTGACTATTTATTGGAACATGCGGCAAAATAAAATGATGTACAATAAGCACTTGTTGCCAAGTTGCCAACCAGAAATCAGGTCAAGTGGAGTACTGAGCAGCTAGAGAACTGAGATCTGTAAGTGCCAAAAGGAATTAGATCTGAAATATTGCTTAGCACTGATCATCAAACAGTCAGAAATTTGGATTTAAGGGTTTCCTATTTACGCTTAGTGTCAGATTTGTGTAAAAGATATATCTGCACCATATCAATATGATGCCTGCAGTCCTGAAAAAAAACACATTTATCTTTTTTATAATCTTGTTTAGAAAGGAACAAAATGTAATTTGCTTATGGTCCAGTTAAGTAGAGCAAATGGAATTAGTGTATAAAACATACTGTTCTGTAAATGGATGTATATGTTTATTGAAATGCTATAAATAACTTTCTGATAGTAAAGTTAGATGTAACTAGAGATATTTAAATTAACCATGCTTATGCTTTGGTATATGTGCATTCCACTCTTGCCAATCCCTCTGACTGACTGTCTTCTTCATAAATGTAAATATTCTTCTTCAAATTGCCCAGACTGACAGCTTAATGATAATCTGTGCTTTTATTTCTCTTTGTATGTTTTATACACTGGGTACATACCCGACACATGAAAGATGTGACAGTGATCTTTTGTTTTCAAGTAATAATGGCACTTAGTCTGTGAACGTGATAAAAATCTATTTGTTGGCATGAATTACAAATTGTTGTTTTCACAGAAGGCATAAATATGTATGTTGACAGTGTCATGCAACACTAGCTTCTGTCATTCCTATCAGAATCCTGGCACTAAATCTCTAGTAGAAATCAAGCTCATTTGCAGAGCCATAAATACAGATGGCTGGGAAGCATCTTTATGTAATCTGAACAAAGGACATACAAAACGGTGCATACAAATATAAAACAGTCATTTATTTGTTATAATATAAAAGTGAACCTATCTTGCAAAGCAAAGTAGCTTTGCAAATCTGCAAGAATTATATACTAGTGTAACACAATTTATATATTTTTAAACTGCACTATTTGTCAAGAAAAGGCATTTCTTAAGCTTTAGCAAAGTGTTTCAGCCTAGGCATCATCTCTCAATAGACAGAATCAAACACCGCGCCAGCAGATTTTGGTTCAAGGGAGTATTAGTCAATGATGTTGAGGAGTGCAGGGCGGTAACGGGGCGGCTCTCACCAGGTTCAGAACAACCTCAGCACTGCAAGACAAGACACAGAGAGCGCCTCCATTGCATAAAAACGTTTTAATAAACAAAATAAAAAATGGTATAAAGGTACTCACAGAGGACGAATAAAAACAGGCATAAAAGGGTCAGAACGAAAGGTGCATATCCAGCCGCTGTTCGTCTTCCCTGGTAGTGAAGTGGTTTACGCGTTTCAGAGGACACACCTCCTTCCTAAGAACATAGTGGAATATATATATATTATTTTCATTAAGTACCATCTCTGGATCTAGGCTTTTGTAGAGGAAGTATATGCTGATCTTGTATATTTGTTTAAATGAAGATGGTAGCTGACTTCTGTAGAGAAAGAAACATGAATACATTGTCCGTTGGAGCATTGGGATGTCTCTGAGCAATAATAAATACCTGTATGTTTACACTTACACATTACTTAGCATACCCTCTCTCTCTCTCCTCTCCCTCCTCTCTCTCTACTCTCCCAGCCACCAGTGACTTTTCTCCAGATTAAAGGACTATTCCTCTAATAACAGAACAAGACCTCAGTTACACACTACAGTAACTGCCTACCTGCTATTACATTTGTTAGCTAGAACCCCCTATTTATGCACCTATCTGATGTAAATTTACTTGTTACTAGAGGCTTCACTTCACTTTTGGGTTAAGTCATGCCCAGCTGCACCCCCTGTCTTGTGTGTACACTCAAATGATCTTTGAGAGTACTGTTATTAAACTGTGTGTAGTCAGTAGGGCAGGGCGTAGCCCAGAAAAATTAAGTCCCTGGTAACAAAATGACTCTAAATGAGAGGGGCTACAGAGAGGTTGGTTTTCTGGCAATAAATAATATTAGGGATTTTATGGTTTCTGCTCTTAGGCATGTGTTTTATTTTTCAACATTTAAAATGGCTGACAGGTTAATCATGCACTTGTATTATAGGCCTCCAGCATAACCCCTTGTTAGTCAACTTATTTGAATTGATTTCTCTTTTAAACTGCTTCTTGGCTTTAAATAAAACAGCACCACTCTTGACATCCTGTGTTTTATTGCCTAATAAATGTTACCCAGTATAGGAACTTCAGGTCTTCTTTAATTAGTTTAGCTTTTCGTGATATAAACTTTTAAGATTTGTGAGTAGAAGGCATATTTCACTTGTCAATTAGTGGGCTTTTTTCTAGTTAAAGCCATACAGATTATGTAAAGCCTGATTCCTTAGGTGATCCCTAGGCTGTCATGTCATGACAAGCACAAATTAAAGTAAAAATTTACTTGTTAATGAGTGGATTACCAGGCGTAGGCTAGGTCTTCTATTCTGCTTATAAGTATTTGCCTTTGTGTGCAGCCTACTGACTCTTGACAATTATAAATTGTGAAACTGAAACTTTTTTCATGTGAATAGTAGGTGTAATAAAATACAGAAGAATCTAGATGTGTAAAACTGGAGGTTATGGCAGCTATTTTGCCAATCATCATATTCGACAAACTGATATGAAAAAAAGTATAAGTATGACAATTAATGTTAACCAACTTCTTATCTTGCAAAATAAAATGTGTTTATGATTGGTGTATGGACTTCAAGTTGTGTATGCAGACAGACTGCTCATATTATTAGTAACGTTATCTTTTTCTTTAGAATTTCAACTGGATTGTTCTCTGTATGAAACCACTTATATTGTAAACATGAGACTTACTTAAACAGGTATTGTTGAAATGTAAAATAAATACCAGAAATAATGTTTTTTCTTTCACAGAAACCATTCTTGAAAGAATCGGATGTCAGCTTTAATCCATCCACTGAAGAGATTTTCTGTGGCTTTGACAACACAGTGGATAGTTTGGTTATCAGTGTCCAGCAGATGGCAAGGATTGAGACTTTTCTTTTCCAGGTAATGTGTTACAAATCCATTCTATTCATGTTTCCCAATCAATTAACTGAATGGAAAGAAAAGGAGACATAGTTTTTTCTGTCTTTATAGAACTGCATTATTTTCAAAACAGTTTAGGAGCTAGAAGAGAACAATACTGGGATATGGACAGAAATTGGTTACCCAGTAATTACATTGGGGAAAAGGAGGTGTTATAAAACCATGTATGAGTGATATTGTTCTGCTCCTGCAAGGGGGCCATGATTGTGAAGCCCCTTAATAAATATATATATATATATATATATTTAGCTATATATACACACACATCTGTATCCGTTGTATGTTCAGTAAATGTTTTATGGTTCACAAATCAATATTAATGTTAGATCATGCTACAAGAAACCTTTAGATTTTTTTTCTTAAAATGTACCTTTCAAGATAGAAGAATAAATAAGAGATTTTTTTTTAAAATCCAAAATGAGTTTAGCAACAATGCTGAGCTATGCTATTAGAAATGTCATGTGGCTGATATTTTATTTCCCTGGCCTGTATAAATGTTCATAATAGAAAGGCAATATGGGGAGAGGGTAAAGAGAAAGTGAAAGTGGTGACTTTACGCTAGTATACATGTTAAGTGCGTTGGCTAAGGGGACAAAGGGTGTATAATTTCAGAGTAAGCTGATTCTGAGATCATAGAGACAATCAAAAACAATAACAAAATGTGGCAGCAATTATGTATACAAAAATAATCTAGGTGCAAAAACAGCTACAAGGAATTGCAGACATGTGTTAAACTTGTATAAAGAATGTACTTAATACAACATAGGTTTCCTAAACATGTCTGCTCCACTGTAAGGAACGCATTCTTTATTTAAATGACATTTTGAGACAAATGGCCTGCAATTGAATTTTCAATTTGGCTTAGTGAATGAAGATCATCCAATCATGTGTAAACAAAACTTTTTTTTTTTTTACCCCATAGACTAAGCTAAGAAAAAATTACCTTGCAAATTATCTTGCAAAGTGAAAGCCTGTTTGCCTTTAGTAAATCAATCTCAAGAGTTATTTTACCAAAATATACACATGTAACCAATGCATCGAATGCTGTTAATACAATTATAGTTTATTTTTGCTGTACACTTATTCATCCCCTTCCACCCAAAATTCTTAATAATGGCACTTTTTTGTAACTGGCAACGTCTAGTGTTAACATGGTTCCGGCATATTGTTGGGGGGGGGGGGAGGGAGTTTATGAGTAGTAAGCCTTATGCTTGTTCTCTGGAACTCAAACACGAGAAAGATATAAGTGAGACTTTTATAGCTCATATCGAAGGAAGGATGCCTCCAAGGCTGCAAATATTAATAAAAATATAGGGACTTGAGTTTTGATTGTTATATTGCCTTGCAGCTTCATTTGATTAACAACTTATATTGCAATAGGCGTAATTCACAAAGGTTTAATGAAAACGATATTTATTACCATGAGTAATTTATTTTAGTCTTAAAAATGGATTTTGACTTTAAAAGCCAATTTACTAAGATTATCAAAAGGGATCGCTGCTTCTTAAAATATTGATAGCTTCAGGCTGGCAATAACCAAGAGCTTCAAGGAGGTGTCTGTTGAAAAAAGTAGAAAGTGAGTTATTTGAGGTGGTGAAAAATAATGCGTTATTTGATCAAATAAAGATTAATGAGAAGTAAAGACAGTTAAATGCTAATTTCATGCAAAAAAAAAAACACATTTTAGCAGAATAACTAAAGAGCAGAATAACAAACAGAGTTGGATTTCATTCACTTAGCTCAATGTCTTAGTTTTTGCACTTTATTGTTTCAAAACAACTTGTCATAAGCTGGAAACCCATTAGTTATTCTCTATCTCCAGCTAATCATTGTGATATTAGTGTCAGCACTATTCTAGAAATAGGCAAATCACTAGCTTGATTTCACAGCAGCTAAGTCTAAAGAATGTTTAATTGTAATGCTAGGTTTCTAGTAGTTGCTATAACCACTAATCAAATTCTCCAGTATTAAGGTAATGCACACACATTAATCATAGAACAGCACAAATGTTGTGTCTTAAAAACCCTTGTGGTTTCAAAAAAAAATTAATGTATTCATGTGCTGCATTATGCTCTTTATGAAAACAATCACTATGTTTTGTACCCTGGCTGAGTTCCTAATTTATATTTCAATAACATTAGCAGTCTCTGCCAAGAGAAATTATTTTTATATTGGACCATGCATGCTGTGAGTAAAATAGGTGTCAAAACATAACTTGGTTCTAAAAGACAAAATATATGCCAGAGTTACTAAACTACAATATTCAAGTAAGGGTCTCTTACTTGCAATGTGCAATAAGGAAAAACACAATTCCTGAGAAACCTTATATAAATTACAATGTAAGCTGCGTAGAGCACATGGTTTGTGGCTGTTAGAACTATTGTGGATGTTTCACATCAACAGAGACTGCAGAGAGTCTGTTTTCATTCAGACAGACCTATGTGCAAAAAAAAGAGGCTCAGGAAGATGCAACCATGGTGAAACGCGATACAAATTAAATGTAGATACAAGATTTTTTTTTTAAACTAAAGGCTCATTGATTAGATTAAATTAAGGTTATTTGTTGATTTATTTCATATGTGCAATATATCTATAAAAACCCACACATTTAAAAGGCTTTATTACTGTTTAGGAAAAAAAGATATGCTGATGATAATTTTAGTGCAGTTTGTCGTGTCTAGAAAAATACTATCTCCTCTCCACCACCATAATTACAGTTTTATCTACCATAATTACAGTGTTATACCTACATTTGATAAACACCAGAGTACCTAGCATGTGCAAGGTATTAATATCTTTGAACTAATGCCAGCTTGTTGTGTTTATTGATCCATTAAAGAGAATAGGCATTTATCCATATATACTTTAAGTATAAGGGAAAAAATATATATTTAGAGGTTACCATGAATAAAAACTGCATGTCACAACCATCAGCAGATCCAGAGATTACTGAAGTAATCCTGATTGTTGACCTTGCCCTGCCCCAAGCCTCTTTCATTCCTTTGATGTGGTTGGTTGCCTCATTGACCAAATCGACAGTTTAGGAGGCAGGAGCAGTTTTTACAGCAGTATACAGTATATTTGCATATAGCTTTAGTTACTTCTACTTTTAGTCCATTGGAAGTTTTAAAATGTAATTTATAATTTGTAAGTCCAGGCAAAAATAACATAAATAACAATCCTCACACTTCTCCAGCTAATGAATAATAAAAGTCTCCTTTTACCAGTGGATTATCTTGTAAAGAGGAATCTAAATCCACTGTCCCTGCAGTGTTTCTTCTTACCAGTTCTGATTGTGAGGACCAGTTCCCAAAGTTGCTGTTCTTGATAATATGTGATTGTTCTTGTCACTGCCCCTCCCATAGGCATGCTTTCCCACATTCCGGTTCTGCATAGAAATGAAAAGAGTGTTGGCTGCCATAAGGTAAGTATTCTTCTGTATTAGCTCATCCACTAGTAAATTGAGTATTATATTTTTCATCACCTTGGGTGCACATTATTTTATTTATACCCAGAGTTTTACTGATGCCCAGAATATTGGTATAAGCATTTTCCCATCATATGATTTAAATGACCATGATTAAGATGGGGCTGTTTTACATTTTATGATTTTACATTTAAGTTAGGAGTTTAATCAGAAACTGTCTGTTTTACAATTCATTCACTTGTTTGATTGACTTATCTTTTTCACCTAACATTAAATGTAATGTGTTTATCAGCTAGAGTAAAAGAGTTCCTTCACCACAATGAATATTCATTTATATGTTAATGGTTGATATTCTCTGGTATCCAAATGTTCAACATACTAAAATTTACAACAGGTGCATTATTCTTAAATAAGTCTCTAGTGAGCAAACTAGAGCCTGCCCATTATAGATTTCAAAGGTAAACAATTGAGGTACTTGTATCTGCAGGCTGTAGATAATCTGAAAATCAAATACATCAGTTCAGTACAAATCCATGAAGAGATTGTCCTGTCAGCAAAGACAAGAATAAGGGCTGTGATTGAAAACAACATGCGTGGTCCAAGTAGGTAAGTACTATTTCAAGCTTTCTTCATAAATTTGTATTTATATATTTTATTTAAATGTATGATGTATTTGTATGTTCACATGTGTGTACATGCATGTATAGATACTGTATGTGAAGGACAAATTATCTCCAGCTTTTGCATAGTGGAAAATAGTCTATACAGACACAATGACAAAACACTCTCAATTAACTGCTAAATGTTATTAGTCATCTGACTGACTTGTGTTAGAGCAAACAGAAAAAAAAGATAATACAATTATTAAGTGTAAAATCTTAATTCTAATGATTTTTCACTGAAAGTGTTTTTCAACTTTTTAAATATCTGTTTTTGTTCCCACTGTGTTGCTAAGAAAGAGTGGCACAAAGTTTTAAGCTAGCCGAAGGATCGGCCGAAGCTACGGCCAGATCCTTCGGCAGCTTTGTGAATAGACCCCATAGTTTTAGAGTTCTTCCACATGTGTGTGACTATTAAAAATATGCAAACCTCATAAACAGTTATTATTTTTATAGAAAGTAGTATTCTGAAATTCCATAGGGGTTTGTTACATGGACGGGAAAAGTTGTCCTATAAAGCTGAACGTCAGGCAGATTTAAAAACAACAACGTAATGCTATGTATCTTATGTATTTATTAAACAGTGATTGCAACACTACAACTAATGTAAGTATTTGAAGCTGTCTTGATATCAACCTTTGAGCATGCATATATGCTGACAGATTCTACTGCAGTCAATCAGACTCTGCGGCATGCGTATATGCTCACAGAAGGCTAGAGTAGATAATCTGGTCAGTGTGATGCGGTTCCTTAATTTTCCAGTGGCTGGGGGCAGAAAAGGTGATCTGGTTGTGTTGCTTAAAACAGAATAAAACTCACCTCCACTCTAGTGATGTGACATCTGCAAGCTCCCTCATTGGTGCTGAACTTTTTCGCTTGGTACTTCCATGCTCAGGATCTTTTGCCATTTTGATTGGGATGATGCAACTCCCACACACCCACATGGGAGTTTATCCATCCGGCACCTGGCAGATACTGGGATTGTAAACTGAGCTGTGTATGTGCAACTCAGTGTACTGTACATGGCCAAGAAGATTGCAAACAGACAAGTAGGAACCTGCCGGTTTGCAAATGTTTAATTTCTGTGTTAAGTTCTGCTTTAACTGCTATAGAGAAAAATGGTGTCACGGACCCAGTTATGCTATCTGGCAGGGCTGTGTATACCTCAGGGCCGGATGGCAAATTTACAGATTTCTTTGACAGGTTTAACCTTTCCCAAATATGTAACGTATGTTGCTCCTCCCCGTGGTGAATTGTCTTCTTTAATCCACCTTCTAACCCAATCAACTAGCTAGTCTTCGTATCCCGCAAACAAGTTCATGTCATAGTAGCACAAGACAGGCCAAGGCTGGTGCCAGAGAGGCTTAAAGAAACATTTTGCCCACTCTGCATCAGTATATCTATAACTGATAACTAGAAGAATAGGGAAACTGAATATGTTAGCAGCACAGTTCCATGTTTACAGGCACAAAGTTGTTAAACTGCACATTAAAAAAAATTGCATCAAACTGTGCAGAGACAGCGACAGTGACAGCAGATTCACTTTGCAGTGGCAGCCATGGAAGCAGTTTGGAACCTTTTATTATACACAGGAATATGTTACTAAGAGTGAGCAACATGTGTCATGAGATTTCTTCCACTTTTGTCATCTCTTTATAATGATGTACTGTGTGCATTACAGTCTATAACATTTTACACTACATAATGCATCTAAGAGTGACTTTATGTTGTGCTTAGGTATTGTTTTCTATTTAAATGCAGATGTCTTAGTAGATGCTTAGCTGTTTTGAGGAAATTAGTTTTTAGAACTAGTGGATGAGTAGACTTTTGGGAATCCCATTCTGAACCAAGCTATTTAGTCCTATTAGAAGAATGTATTCTTTAGGCAAGCTTCCCGTAGAGTTCACTATTGAGTAGCAGGTGTATGATTCCAAAGTGCCTTTACAAGTGGATCAGCAGGGCCTCACTGCCATGCATTCACAAGATACAGCTCATCTGTTTAATCCTTATGTTTTAGTCAACCTTCCTTATTATACAGACAGAGCTTCTGATGCTCAGCTGGATTTTGACTCTCAGAATGAATTGATGGGATACTTTGATCTTGGCCATGTATTGCATCTGTTTCATCTTTCATCTTAATGTATGATCTTCCCTACCCAACCATTGCTCTTTTTTTTGCAAATTCTATCAATATTGCTTTGTTCTCTACTTTGGCAGTCCCTAACTGTCCAGTAAACCTAATTAACAAGAATACACTAGTCATAATTAGAAAAAAATGTTATAGGAAAATTTACTTTATATAGGAAATGTGATCTTGTGTTATTGTGGCATTACCATTAGAAAATTGGAACTTATGTAAAAAAATTAAAAATAATTATACAACATTTTATGTATTATAGGGCATTTGGAGGTTGAAATACCTTCTATTGCAGATGTCATCATAAGATATAAACTAAAAGAAAACAAGAAATGGGTTAAAAGCACCCTAGTCTTAAAGTTAGACAATCATATCTACTAAAGAATTACTTCCTGATACACAATTACTAGTGTTTAAGTGCTTCCTTTTTTCACCATACCAAGCTAGCGATAAGATTGATTAAACAGATTGCCTTACAATCATGGTTTAAGTTGGTAAGATCCCCAGGCAAGGGATAACTTAAATTGAGTAGTTTATCAGGAAAATCTTTGATTTATTTTGATTTATTTCTTACCCCCATTCATTATCAATTGTGCCAGTTCTTTTTTAAGTCGTATTACTTTTCTCCCAGAGTTAGATGAACAGTGATATCATTGATGGGTTTTTGACATTGTGGCAGGGATTTTATAAGCAGGAATAAGCAGAAAACATTTTATTTTTACTCTATTAACTTGCACGGTTAATGGAGTTCAAACAACATGTACAGTATATTCTACCAGACTTTCTTTGAATTTACGGTAGGGGGAATTTATCAAAACAGGAGCAAACAAAAACACGAGCAGCTGTGCATGGCAACCAATCAGCTTCTCTCTATAGTTTGTTCAGTTAAGATTTGAAAATGAAAGAGAGAGGCTGATTGGTTGCCATGCACAGCTGCTTCGGTTTTTGTCTTCTCCTGTTTTGATAAATTCCCCTCTGTGTGTTTTATACCATTGTATTTTCCCTGTGCTGACCAGCAGTACAGGTTTTTGCAGAATTGTCTAATATTTCATTTGCACAGCCTCCTGTGTGGGATTCCACCAGAGGTGGGATGTAAATCATACTTATCATATGTTTAATGTAATATTAAATTAGAATATTAAATTAGAAAATTAGAAAATGTTACAGCTGTCTATTTCTCTATCAGGAATGGTATATTGTTCTGCATAAATCCTACGAGGATAAAAGTCCAGCTGGCAAAGAAAAAACACACTGAAAATGTGCTCTTGACAACATTTTATAGACAATTATTTACTAAACTTTCCTGATAGCTTAAATGTCTGTTTGGAGTTCATTTCTTATATTGAACACAAATCCAAATAATGAAATGTGACAAGCACTATTTAAGATCAACTGGGAAAGACTTTGATAATGAGTAAAATAAACTAAATGGCCTCATGTCATAATGAAATTTACTTAGTGACAATTTACAAGTCTTATTTTCTCTAAATCACACCAAGTGATGACTTACAGTACATATAAACAATTTAATGCATTAAGAAAAATAGAAGGGTTTCCATCCCTTCTATTCCATCCATCCTTTCTCTAGGTCTTAGACAAATATGTATTCAGAGGTTTTCTTGTATTTTTTATTATCACAAAACATACATATGGTGGTGTTTATTGAACCAGTCTACTGACCCAGGTTTACTCTGGGGATATTGGAGGGTCTGTAATACTCACAGTACCAGTGACATGCAGTACCTTTCATGCTGGGTGTGGCATTCCCCCTGCCCGACCCAGCATTCCCCACCCCCAGTCTGCTGAAGCCCCACCTCCAGCCTACCGGTGCACCCCCCGACCTGGTCACCAAGCTATGTGTGGAGGAGGGAGGAGACAGGGAGGAGCCTTCCTGTCCTTCACTTGCTTGTCACTGGTGGGGCATCGAAATTGATATCCTCAGTGTTTTTTTGATTGGACAGCTTGGACCAATGGCGCTTTGCCATTGGTCCAAACCATCCACAGGGCTCAAGCCTCTAACATAGAAAAGAGGCTGTCAGAGCTCTTGCCTCACTATGTTAGTTTACACAAGCAGTGGGGAAGTTCGCTGCTGTGTAACCTAACTTAGCTGTCAAAAGCCGGATGCAGCGCTGCCTGTAATAGGCAGTGTTCTATCCATGATGGTTACACAACAGAGAGGCTTTCCTTGCTGTGTAACCTGTTACAAGCCGCTCTAAATGGAGAAAAAGCTGTCAGCTTCAGGGTTGAAGTTGACAGATTTTTCCTCCATAATACTAGGTGAGGCTCTGCCTCATTTGACTTAACCAAGGCAGGTTGCACATGCCAACAACCACAGACTGCAACTGCTACTGGTTACCAGAGTCAGGCTTCTCTTAGTAAAGATTCCTTAAAAAAATCACCAGAACTGTAAGAGAAGCAGAGCAATTGGTTGTAGTTTTCCAATCCTATAAAATAATCCTTAGCTACACCACATGCTGGAAGATATTTAAGTTTCAACATTGCCACATTTCATCACAATCATATTCAGATTTATAACATTTGTATATATTGTCAATACAATATAGAGTAGACTTACAAATGGTATCATAGCTAGTAAAGCAGTTACTAATACAAGTATATTAGCAGATTAAGAAGAAACAAATGTACACTGTAGACAACAACAACAAAGGCTTAGTTTACCCAAAAGCTGCTCCTTAAGAACATAGCTGCATTAATGGAACAAATAGAAGTCTAATTTGCATACATTTCCAAGTATGCCTACATGAATACACCCTTAGATACATTGAATATCTCACTAAATTGCAAAGACGATGCCTGCTCATCTGAATGGCTTGTTTAGCTATAAGTAATGTGGTTTTGTTCTTTCTATTCATTGCCCAGTTATTTATATGTCAATGAACCTTATTTGTGTGCTTTAGATATGCCAAGGTGTACAAACCTTTTCTACAAATGCTATCGCCTCAAACTGAAAAGCGGCTTGAAACACTTGCGCAGAAAAATGTCAGTCTTAAAGTCTATGCCAGAGAACTTGACAACGTGAAAAAATTGGCATCAGATGTTGCTTTGTTGCCAGTATTTGTGCCCATGAAGATGATGTTTATGGATTGCTTTGAAATTAACCAGGTACAATTATTATTGCCTTACTTTCAGATATTGTCACAATGTACACCAAGTTTTTAAAGAAAAGTGAAATATTCTGGGATTTTAAGGTTTCTTGTTGTACAGCATACATTTTTCTTACTCGCTTTTCTTAGTGTTAACATGTTTAATGAACCATTATTATTTATGGTTTATTTAAAATCATTTGCTACAAAATCTATATGATGACCATAACCGGTAGAGAACAAAATCAATAGTTATCACTGTTAAAGGTTGTCACCATGATTAACTTGCATGAGCAAATGGAAGTCCTAAATGCAGGCATGAAAAGAGAATGATCCATATTACTAACTTGGGATGAAGGAGGAAAACTGCTTAGCAAAATGTCTGCTAATCAGTGCATTGTTTCACTCTTAACAGCAACAGGGGCTTTAGTATTATTCAACAGTTTTCCTTATTGGGCTCCTCATTAAAATACTGATGGTTCTCAAAATTTAAAACAGCACAAGATGATCTGTGCAGTCAACACTTATGTATCAGTGCAAACTGTTATTGGCTAGCAAATCATTCAGCAACCTATACTTTGGCTACTCTCCCCTCATTTATCCATTCAAAGAGAACCAAAGAAATAATAGTGGAAGTGTATCTAAATAAAAAGAAAGAAGTGTAACAAATTGCAGTTTACTAGTCCTTAGATGTGGTGGCCGCAGATGTTCTTCTTTGTTTACCTCTATTACATGGTGAATCGATGGGGCCAGTACTTTACACAATAAAGATAAGGCTCCTTGTGCATTAAGTTGCAGCAGTGTTGTTTAGTTGGTACTAACAAGGAATTTGTTAAGATATAGAACTATGTCAGAAGGCTCTGATTGAATCAACCATGGTTTGACTCACATGCCACATGTTCGCTCCAGGCCAGTGACTTTACTTCCTGTGAAGCTGAACAGGTTTATCTTCAGTGTCACTCTAACTAGAATATGGCAAATACTTTGGCAAATGGGTTTACAACTGATTCCCTTTAAAAGAAGGTTAGTATTGTAGTAGTGACTCTGACACAGGATTAAGATGTATGATATGCTTGACTAGTTCAGATTAATCACTACTGATTTTATCTCGAGAAATCTTTTTTGATTCAAATGAAAAGCTGCACTGCTTCTAAATAAGAGTTGAGGCTGTGAATCATCAGCATATTGCTATGTGTTTATATGATCGCTTGACAGATTTAAAAAACAAACAGATAAGCGGATATATGTCTTGGGTGTAGAATAATACTTTGCAGATTTAGAAGATACAAGCACTACTCTGGTGGTTTACTTGGACCTTTACCTGACAATATTTCAGTTATTCTATGTGTGCATTTAGCTGTATGTAGATATTATGTTAAGGAGGAACTCCAGTTGTTTAAAAAAATAACCCTTGCATTGGGGCTACCCCCACATTCCAAGTGTTAACTGATTGTTTTGGTCTAGGGACCAAAACACAGAAGATGTACTCACCTGATCCTCGGTCTTGCAGTGGTGAATGCTCACCTTTTTCCACTTCTGCTTCAGGTGTAGTATGTCCCTCAGCATCCTCACATCTAATGCAGGTGAATGGACCTGCATTAGACATGATGACATCAGTGGGGCTTAGACTGCTGAAGCCTGCAGAAAAAGAGATTGGTCTAGGAGCCAGGTGGGACTGAAGATCAGGTGAGTATGTTTTTTTTATTTGAGCCCCTAGACCAAAATGAGACGGCAACCTTACAGTGCAGGGGTAACCCCACTGCAAAGGCTATTTTTTTGGATTCCTGGAGTTCCTCTTTAAGGTCAGCTTCAGGTTTAGGTTGATGATTAGCAGAAGCCCCAAGAAGAGTGATAAGTAATGAGACATCTGTCTGTCCTCTAACCATACCCCTAAAGCAGCGCCAGGACCCACAAACTTCTTGAATGATGAGTGGTTGGGCCTGCACATGGTCTGACATGTTTATTGCCTTACCCCTATAGAAAAGGGAACTGGCTGTACAGAGCATTTTTGGAACACAAAACATCTATGTGAGAAATAGGGAACACTTCCCCCATCAGAAAGAACATTTATGATTGTCTAGATACCCACTACATGCCACATTAGTTGCTCAGCCGTTGCAAACAATGTTGAATTAGACATTTGGCTTGTCACTATCAGCCAAAACACAGAAGTCCAAAGTTGACATTTTGGACTTATATGCTTAATAACATTAAATATCAGAGTTCTCACATCCCTCTGCAAGTGGCCTGTAGTAAATGTTTCGCATTTAGACAGTTAAAAGGTTCTGGTATTTAATGCTGTCCATTGCTACAACACACACATTTGGCTCTTCACCGCTGAAAAGTAATAAATGATCACAATCTCTACTACTGCAGCCTGAGCCTCTGCTGCCCCTGTGGCACTAAACAATAGAAAAGTGGATCAAGGTAAAGGATTTGCTAGACAATGATTCTCTAGTCTCCAAGATATATTTTTATCACTTTCTTTTATGGGTTTTATGTCACAGACAACCTTATAACAGAAACCATCCAGTTTTCATTTTATTTACCATTTTCAATTTCAAAATTCCTATTAAAATGTTACCTCAACATGTAGTTTAAAAATAAAACAGCTATTTTTACATTGCTGAGCAGAGTCCTGTGTAAAGTGATATTAATGATAGATATATTGGTTCAGAATATTTTGAGAATAAGGGGTGGAGCAATCCATGACAGCCGATCAAATGCTTTCTTTTAGGTTATTTTAGGTTACTGAACAGCAAAAAATATTATTTTTAATGAACTCACATCTATGTATGTATACGTGTGTGTGTGCGCTATATATAATGTTTTTTTTTAGGGATGTTCAGATACCAAGTACTGTACTCGGTACAAGTACATGCACAGAAGCACTTTTCCAGCTCCAGGACTAGATTAGAGAAAAATGCAAAAGTTAGGAGGCAGCTGTAATTTTTAAGGCGCATAAGGAGATCCCTGGATTTGTACATCCCCATTTTAATGCATTATTTGTTTTTATAAATATATATAAGTGATAGACCGATACCATTTTTCCATGTACAAGTACTGATACTTGTCCAAGTACTCACAGATACAAGTACTGATACATTTTTGATGTCATGTGACAGTTTTTCTTAAACAATACAGGCTAATGATTTCAGGACAGTGGCGGGGCGCCAGGGCCCGGTCCCACCTGCAACCGCTGCAACCCTGGTAGTTCTCATGAAAATGCCATGTATCGGCACTGGTATCTGAGCTGGTATCTGGACATCCCTAATTTTTGTAACTACAGAATATGCCCATTAGTGGTGTCAAAAGTTGTTTAGTGAAGAGAATTTTACACCAGCTTCTTGTGTTACTTACATTGCATTGGCAGAGCACAAGGGCCTCATGCAATCATGGGGTGCAATTTCTATGCATAAATTCCAAGCAACAAAGGAAACCATTTAGTAAGCTACCAATGTTATCACACACTGTGCTAACATCTAAAAATGTACCTGGTTCACCTTAACCTGGCATTGATCTAATTCCCTGCATAATCCCCTTTTAATTGAATTGGTAATAATGAGAAGCTTTGCACTGGCATTTTTTGCATTAGTTTTTTGTATGAATGAGGCAGCAAAGTGTTCCAGCACCACCAATATATATAGTCCAGAATCAGTAAACTTACAAACAATTTTCTAGACAAATTAAAGTACTGTGGTGGTAGGTTGTGCTGCCTGTATGCATCTCAGTTGTATGTATATAGTAAGGTGATCAGATTTTCCAAATGAAATCTATGGACACTCTACTGACCATTGCCACTTTTAACCACACCCACAGAATCATGCCGCCATTTCAACATTTAAAAAGTATAAACAATATGTAGACGTTAAAGGAGAACTATGGGGTATACTTTTTTTGCATTTTAAAATTCAGTGTAATATACTGTGGCTGGGGCTAAACTCTGTTTATATTGTTGGGATCCTCCTCTCCCACTGAGTTACAGAAGCTTGTAGGAGCTGCGGCACATTCATGAGAACCTGTGCAGACACTCAGGGCACATATCCTTTTAGAGTTTAGTCATGTCAGGTCACTGGTCTATGAACACTAGAACATGCATCCCACCGTTTGTCCTTCCCCCCCTCCTCTCCATTCTGCAGTCTCCAGACAATACACCTACCACATCAGCACTAAGACCATCAGTTCAGCTCGGTCCTCTCCCTCCTCCCCTCTGCTGTCTTGGGACATACACAGGGAGATAAAGATAGCAGAGTGGAGGAGAGTGGGGCAAAGATGGAGCTGAACTGATCGTCTTAGTGCTGATGTGTTATGTGTATTTTCTGCAGACAGCAGTGTGAAAAGGAGAGAGGAAGGGGGAACAAAACACAAACTGCAGGATGGATGTGTAAGTGTTCACTCTGATAGGATGTGCCCCCAGTGTCTGCCCTGGACAGGTTCTCATGAATGCACAGCAGCTCCTACAGGCTGCTGTCACTCAATGGGAGAGGAGGATCCTTACAATATTGCCAATATAAATAATAAATAAAATCAAAACAGTCTAACAAAATGTGAGCATAACAAGAATTATGAAAGACCTGGGGCACTGGGATAGAAAACAAAAACAGAATTTGTCTTAGTATGGGGGAGGGCTAGGGGGGTGGAGCCTGCTCAAGATGGCGCTGAGCAGTGAGTAGCTGAGACATTCATGTGCTCCCTCCCAAGCCAGGTGAATAGGAACCCACAATAGCAGAGCGTTGTTGCCGATTAAGCCGGCCTGCTGACCCGGTACTCTGACTTGGCGGGGGTGACGAGACGGGACCAAGGAGCCTGTACTTACGAGCATGTACTTACGATTAAGCGATGGGGGGCAGGAGAGCCCAGAAGAAAAACGCCACGAAAGGCCCCCGAGCAGGAGCAATTAGACGGCTCTGGGCGACGGAACCAACGTCACAGGGACGCAGCGCACGGGAAGGAGGAGAGGTTGCACCATCAGCTGACGAGGCGCCGTCCCCAGGAGACCGAACAGCAGGAGACACGGATGGACGATTCAGCTCACCAGCATTATCGGGGACCTCGGACGATTCCCACCAAGGTACCGCACTATCGCTACATACACTAGCCCAATCCCTACCCACAAAAGAGTACTAAGTTATTACTAAGTACTACTAAGTTATTGGGATACATGGAAGCCTCAATCAAAGCAGACCTGACCACAATTAGAACTGAGATGTCCCAAGTACTAAAAAGGGTAGAGGACACGGAAGAAAGGCTAGATGTGCACACCAAAGCGATTCAGGAACTACAAGATCAGTGCAGGTACATGGAGAAGGGTATGAGAATTATAGCATACAAAGCTGAGGATCAGGAAAATAGAAATCGACGGAATAACCTGAGACTCAGAGGTATCCCTGAAACCGTTGGTGACCGGGAATTGGCAGACAAAATTAGAGAGACTTTTAATGACATGCTTAAACGCCCCAGGACTACAGAGATCATTTTTGATAGAGTCCACAGAATGAGGCGCCCCATAGCAAGCGGAGGAGAGAACCCCAGGGATGTAATAGTGCGGTTCCATTACTATGCGGATAAAGCACAAATTACGGAAAGTATGAAAAACGCATCAGAGATGGTCATGGACGGGGTCAATATCCAGGCATATGTGGACTTGGCACTAGAGACTTTGGCGCGCAGGAGAGCGCTTAAACCCCTGACCCAGGCCTTAATTAGTAGGCAAATCACATACAGATGGGGGTTTCCAGCGTGCCTCATCGCAACGTACGAAGGTAGAACAGCAACCTTGCGACACCCGGAAGATCTGGTGGAGTTCTGCGAGAAAATGGACATTACCCCTCCAGAGTTGTGCAAACAGAGGACCTCCTTGCTTATCCCCTTGTCTTCTTTGTGTCTGCCTTGTTTCCTTATCTTTTCTTGTAGCAGTATACAGTGGGTGGTGTCGTTCACGGGGTAACGCCTATCGTAGGAGGTAGAAGATCAAGGGGGCAAAAAATGTTTTAGCATGTTTTTTGGGTCAGTTTATTTACACATCTGACCCGCCTGAAAAGGGCAATGACCAAATACCAGCTGAATCCTTCACCCAACTGAGCGGGATATCACATATTACTCCCAGTTGCATAGTTCATACTCCAGGCTGGACTGGATAATGTTGGATTATGTGGCAATTGAATCGGTAGAATCTGCAAACATTCTCCCCATGACGATCTCAGATCATGCCCCTGTAGAATTAACGTTGAAAAATAATATCTCGTGGGGGAAACAATATAACTGGAAACTGAACGACTCTTTGTTACATGATCAGGCTGTGGTCCAGGAAATTGGGGTGCTTCTGGAGAACTACTTCCAAGAGAATAACACGGAGGGAATGTCACTGGTAACGGTATGGGAGGCACATAAGGTGGTACTTAGAGGTAAGTTGGTCGCAATAGGGGCCAACCGTAAGAAAGAAAGGGGGCGCGTCATACAAGAATTACTGGAAGCAATTAAACACCTGGAAAGAACGCATAAGTCAAGGCTATACTCTGGATCACTTAGGGAATTAACGTCAAAAAGAGAGCAATTAAAGGGGGTCCTAGAGGCAGAAACCAAACGGGCATTCAATGTAATCAATAGGAAATTTTACGAATTCGGGAACAAACCAAGTACATTTATGGCGCAGGCGCTTAAAACTAAACAATCCCTCACGTACATAGCTAAAATTAAAAACAATAAAGGTAAGATGATACACTCTACTACTGAGATAGCCGAGACCTTTCACGATTTCTATAAAAATCTATACCAACTAAAGAAGCCGGGAGAGCAGGACACACTGACGGAGGGGGCAGAAAAATTAGAAAAAATTTAACAATATCTCTAACGCAGGCAAAGCTCCCAATGGTAGAAGGGGATTTATTAAATGCGCTAGAAACCGATATTACCCCAGCTTAATTTAAAAGGGCCATAGCTTTGACCCCGACAGGCAAGAGTCCCGGGCCTGACGGATACACGTGGTTATACTATAGGAGGTTTCAAGACCTCTTTAGGGGGGGGAGGAAGGGTTGGGGTTGTATGGGATGAATGGAGAATGTTAATTTTGTATGAAATGGTTGTAAAATTTGATGTCAAAAACTTGAATAAAGATTTAATAAACAACAAAAAAAAGAAAACAAAAACAATGCCTGCGGCATGCATCCCATTGCAAATGGTGGGTATAGCAAGATTGCGTCTAACAGTGGGAGTATACACTGCACAGGTATGCCAGAACTAGGGATGTACAGATACTTTTTGAGTACCAGTGCAGATACTTGGTATTTTAATGAGAACTACCAGGGTTGCAGCGGTTGCAGCCGGGACCTGGCTCTGGCACTCCACCACTGTCCTGAAATCATTAGTCTGTATTGTTTTAGAAAAACTGTCACATGACAATAAACAGAAATGTATCAGTACTCATACTTGTAAGTACTCGGCAAGTACCAGTACTCGTACTCGCAAAACTGGTATCTGTGCATCCCTTTATTTATATTTATAAAAACAAAATCGTACATTAAAACAGAGATGTACAAATCCCAGGAGCTCCGTGTGCTCCTTACAAATGACAGCGGCCTCCTAATTTTTGAATTTTTCTCTAGTGTAGTCTTGGAGCTCAAAAGTATCGGTACATGTACTCGTACTTGTACCGAGTACTGTACTTGGTATCTATGCAACCCTAGCCAGAACCCTTGTATGCACAAAATACTACTTATTACTGAACCACAAGTGAAAGTATCACAGACACACACAAACCTCAGGACAAGCGATCATTATTTTTAGTATGTAACTTTTCCATTACATTTGCTTTTCTCAACACTTTGTCCAAGCCTACCTTAAGGAATAACTTCAATAAAATAATTTGTGCATAGAGCAGCCATTATGATTCACAAGACCTCACACAGCCTTCCTGACAGGGTGCCCCTGATTGACCTCACTGTAGTCCCTGATAGCTTTGTGTTGCATTACATTCACTGAATATTATATGTGGCCCTTTGGTGATTTCAAGGACCACACTTAAAGCCCTCTTTATCAAGTAAGTTGACCACCACTAAAACAAACACAGTAGTTTAAAATAATATAAACATCTTGTTCTGTCAGCTGTAGACTTGTAAAAACGATGCATGGAGCCTCCATCACCATTGTCAAACCTTGTCAGTAACAATAATTACTTCTGATTCTGAATAAGGGGCAGGCTGTCTATCGAATAATGAATAAGGGGCCTAGTAAGCAAAGTATGTATCATCTTTTGTACAAGACATCTGTATAACAAGCAGAGTACATGGAGGCCGACTGAGAAATACATCATGGAATGTAAGCATCATATTTTGTCTGACATGTAGTAACTGAGTTCTCCCTGCAGCCCCATCCTCAGGATGAGCCTGGGGATGGGGCTGAGTGGGTGGAGAGTGGTGGTAATACAAAGATGTTTGACAGCACTCAGCTGAAGGGTGGTAGTGTATCAATTTATCCACAGCAGCACCCCCGATTCATGGGTACCCAGTACCAGACCACATTCCCCCAGGCACACCACTACTGGGGGATGTTTGACAGCTCCTGGGAACACAGTAGGTGACACTTTATGTTGCAACAAGCTCCTGAAAGTGGAAAAAGCTGGGGACATCTGGCCATCCTAATGTATAACCAAAATGTTTTTGTTTAGTTTTGGATAGTGTAGGGAAGGATTAGAATCCCTGTCAGGTTTGTATTGTTCTTTGTCCAAGCTCACTCACTCAATTTGTCCTGGAGACTTTTATTACTGGGAATCCAAACATTTACAGTTGTCAGCATAACAAAAGTTAACAGTTTATCTTCTAAAGGGGAAACTTGTTCTGGTGACAAATATCTTTGGGGAATTTCCTTCACTTTGTAGAGGTTTCCTTTTACTTTCTGTTGTGTCTCTGAGACAGGATGTGAAGGAAATTCTACCCACTTGGACAAATGCAGCAAAAAAAATAAACTGACAGGGGTTTTAATGCTTCCTTACTCTATCTTCAAAAAAGGTTTCTGCTATACATACACTTCATTTTCAATGTTGTTTTTTTACCCTTAAGAACTATCACACAGTACTGCTCATATCCCCATGGGTCCAAGTGCAGTAAGTGACATCATTAACATTTACTTCTAAGCATGCAATCAGTTAAGTGGGAATAGCAGTGATTATTTTTTAACAAAAATTGTCCTTGCAGAAGAGCCCACAAAGTGTAAAGAATATTACTGATGGGTATAACCTTTTCATAGAAACTTGCAAATATATGATTTTGTTTCACAGATTAAGGATTTTCCAGATATACCTAGTAATAGTGCACTAGCCGCAAACATTTACATTTTCCAACTATCAATGAAAACATTTATAGGAAAACAAAGCATGCAGTTATCTATTAATATAGTGCAATTAAGTACTCATCTTCAATTTTTCAATTTTGCTTACATACATTAGCCATACACACACATACATTCCTCCTTTTTTTCTTTTACCAATGTCTTGTTTAAGAAAATAGGCACTCTCTTTTCTGACTATTACCAAAGATTCCATCTTTCTCCTGAATTACTGATTTTTTCTTTTGCATAAATGGGCCTAATTACCTGAATTCAGTTTTGATTAGCAATGTTAATTGATGCAGCTGTGGATGGTATCTGTTTACCTAAATTACCATGTGCAAACAGCAATATGTCTGAAAGTGAATATGCTGAACTGAAAATACTAATTAGTGGTGGCAGATTGGTATTCAAGTCCCCTCTTTAGGCTTTTTTTTTTAATGAAAGCTCAGATGTGTCAGGGTTTTTATGATATTCAGACAGAAAATTCTGTTATGTATGATTTTAAAATTAAATTCTTGAAAACAGATGGACTGTCATTGTTATAAATATTCAGTATTTGTATACTGAGATACAGATAAAGAAAAACTGTCAAGGTAACTAATTAGGGGCTTGTATGTGTAAAAAAAAGAAAAGTTGTCTTGTCTTTAGTAGGAAAAAATTAACCTAGTCAATCACTGTCTTATGAAAAGGAAAACATGGTATACATTTACTGAGTGAGACAGTGCAATCAGTATCATTCTGAATGACAACTGAGAGGAAATCATTTACAGGATAAATCATTTGGAAAACAAATCTCCTTTTATAAATGGCTTACTTTAGACTTGCACTAAGGCAAGAGAAACAGTAAAGCATATAGACTATGCTGTGATCCTAAATAGGAAGCATGTCTTCTGTATGTAATGAGCAAATATTGCTGCTTCTTCATAGTTTTCTTATAATCTTAATTAGTAATAGTGTATATTTTAAGAAGGGTTGACTTTAAGATGTAAATAGAACTTATCAGACATAAAACTCTAAATGAAAAATGGATTCCCTATAAATAGGCCTATATATGTCCTGTTTTTATAAAGAAGTCCTACTGTGTGTATTATTGGAGCCTTCTTCAAGTACATAGTATTCATTTTCCTTGCCCCTATATATCATAACATAAGTATAAGCTTTTTTTCCACAGATTTTAGTCATTGCTTGCTTGCATTTCTTCTATAATTTGAGGCCAATGTTGCAATCAGATGCTGGAAAACAGAAAATATATAATTAATTTATATTAACATTCAATATCTTTAGTTAACTCACATCTAGCTGGTATTTTGTTTCTCGAGAGTTTTGCGATAAATCCAAGTTCATTTACTTTCACTAACTGTATAACACTTATCACATCCAATTAGTAAAATGTTCTTCCACTTTGTAGCTTGTAATTGTATGCATAATTGTATGTCCATATTCAAGAAAACCATGCTTTTATCATTGGTTAGTAAACTTTGGATGCTTTTTTAAATATGCATAAGCTAATATATCAGCTTTTACAGAATTTAGTTTTGTGAGGCAGGACAGTAAAATCCATTGAAAATATTTGTTAGATTACAACATAAATGTTATACTTATATATGTTTTTGACAAGCTCATTGTGCCCAGCATTAAGTCTTAAATATTTTTATTATCACTGGGAACTCTAGTTGTGTCTATATTTACAAAATTATGTGCTTTTGGGAGCTGTAGGGAAATGGATGCAACAGTTTCTGCAGACAGGCACAGCTGTGGCTAAAATATCCTCTGTGGCTAGCACCCATGCATACTTAAGTGTCATTAAACTCAAATCAAAAAAACAAATATAATGTGCCTTACCTTCTCAATCCCTCATATAAATGCATTTGATTAGCTATTTTTGATTATATATCAATAAAAAATCATTTTAGAAATCTGGTCCTCACACTTACTTTTTAAAGGGTAGCTATGCTATCCCTACACGATCCTGTTCTAAGTGTAATGTGGTCACCCTCCTCAGCATGTTTTCAATGTGTCTAATAATGCTGTGTTGATGTTACCAGTGCTGCCAGGGTCATTTTTTGTATTTGGGGGAGATCACCATGGGGACAGCTGAAGTGTTGCCAGGCCTATAAAAATGTCCTGTCCTGGAACGCTAAGTTTAGGTGTTAGGCAGAGCTTATGTTTTAGCATTTAGGTGGTTAAGTGGGAAGAGCAGCTTAATGGTAGATTAAATTGGTAGGGATGTGGGGACACTTTTGTGTAAATGTATTTTTAGCATCAAAACCCCTGCATTGACTAATAATCTGCCTCCAAACAAAATACCCCAAATGCTTTAAGTGCCATAACTTTTACCTAAAAACTACACCTTCCATTCATGACAATGTTAGAAGATGACAAAAGCAGTATTCAGTATATTACACCTTTTCAAATGTATTCTCATGCACATGTAAAAGTATTTTGTCATGTCATGTTTAAAGAGAGCACTATCCAAAGCTGATATTTCAGCTTGTTGAGTAGATGTGGTAGGTTAAGTAACTGACCAACTTTTGTATCTCTCAGGGACATAAAAATGGCTTTACTCTCAAATTAGACTCCCAGAACTGAATACCCTGCATAATAGAGAAGCCATAGGGAAAAATTATTTTATCAGCTTTTTCTTTCTTTTTATATTGGATACAGTAAAACTGAAAGAGTTTACAATTACAGTGAACCACACAAAGCCACAATGCCAATGCATACAGTTGAACTTTTTGTATTTAATCACAAACAGTAGAATCATGAATTGTGAATTTCTCTAGTACCCCGTTTTATGATGCATGGAAAAATGTTGATTTAATAATTTACAAAATCAATATCTGTTGATGTTTTGCAGACTTGTATTGTTACTCAAGTGCTATATACAGTAAAGTAGAAATTTTTTTTGTATGTTTTCATGTGCTCTGTTGCAGATTGATAAAATATTTTGTTGTAGTCAAGTTAGATTTTATTTTGTTCTAGAAAAGAAACCTGCACAGTTGTATCATATATGTTTGGTTCTAACTGGGGCAGTGTTTTAATGTACATTAATGTGAATTCCAGGCAACCAACTAAAATCAATTAAAATAAATATACTTGATCTGTTTTACATGCCAAGGGATTTGTAATTCTGTTTAGACACTCTTGGGATCTAGATAGAAGTGCCAACTAAGTGATTACCCTCTCTGCGCAAAGAACACTACAGTTTAGCAATAAGAATCTACCCCAGCCAGTGATTGGACATCCAAAAAGCAACTTGAGTTCGTCCACGTGCTTTCTCTCCTGTTAGCATGTGCCATGGCCATAAGAGAACTCACTAGATCTCAGTGCTGTAGCTCGCGGCATACTGAGACGCCGCAGTATACCGTGAGCAGCTGCCCAGCTGCGTGACTGACAGCTGGCTCTACCTATCTAAAGACAGAGCCATCTGTACCCGCCCCTCCCCCGTCCATTCCGCCAGTCAGCGCTGGCGGATCAGAGCGGGGAGGGGGGAATCCAGCCGTGACAGGATTGAGAGGTGAGCGAACGCCGGTATGTGTTTGCTCACCTCCCGATCTACTGAGCCGACCTGTGACAGTCTCATTGTCGGCTAGAACTATGAGGTGAGTGAAAATCACTCACCTCATAGTTCTCCTTTAATAAAACATTACCTTACAGAACAATTCTGCACCAACTTCTTGCAAATACATTAACACAGTATGGATCCTGTCTGCCTCTGAGCATGGACACCAAGACCTACACGGATGTGCAGTTTGGGTGTGCGCATGACAGCGCACGGCCACGTCCTCCCAAAGAGGAGAACAGGGTGCTGCGTGCAATCACACGCAGCACCTGTCACTCCTGGGAATGGCCCGATACGGGCATGCACACCCCTGCGGACATGTACAGGTGAAACTCGAATAATTAGAATATCGTGCAAAGTTCATTTCACTAATGCAACTTAAAAGGTGAAACTAATATATGAGATAGACTCATTGCATGCAAAGCAAGATAGTTCAAGCCGTGATTTGTCATAATTGTGATGATTATGGCTTACAGCTCATGAAAACCCCAAATCCACAACCTCAAAAAAGTAGATTATTACATGCAATCAATAAAACAAGGATTGTACATAGAACAATATCGGACCTCTGAAAAGTACAAGCATGCATATGTACTCAGTACTTGGTTTGGGCCCCTTTTGCAGCACTTACTGCAATTACTTTTGCACGATATTCTAATTATTCGAGTTTTACCTGTACAACCCGAGTTAACGCTGTGTGAATATGGCCTTAGTATGAAGCAGTGTTTCTGACACTTTGGACACTCAGTGGGGATCATTTACTATAGGAAAAGAGAATGCTTAATTTACATTGTTCACTAGCTTAGAGAATAAGGGATATTGGGTATTAAAAGACAACATAAATCTTCACCTTCTACACTGAGTTAAGTGAACACTCTCGTACTAGTAAGCCAACTCAATAACATTAAAAGCTGCAATTCTTCTTGAACTGTTCTTTAATGGCAAGCTCAGTACAACAAGTGTTATAGTAAATTTCCTTTATATATTAAATCCTTTGCAGAATATCCTTTTTTTTCTTTTATTTAGATAAATATGTATCAGATAATCTTCAAAGCATTCGGATGACATTTAACTAGTGTTGGAGGGTCACTTTGTCTAATCCACTTTCAGTGTATTTCTTGCAGTATAAATTTTAGTTCTTCCAAGATGACAGAAAGACTGAATTATTTATCAGCATTGAAGCATCTTACCCCGATGATACATCATGGTTAAGGAATCTGGCTCCCAAGGGAAAAGTCATATGGTGAACCCTCTCCCCACCAACCCTTCTCAGCTGTTGTGAGATGGTGGCTGTCAAAAAATAAAAATGACATCATATGACAGGGGATGTGAGCAGCAGGAAAAAAATTCCAGAGCAATAAATTTGGCAAACTAACAGCACCGTGACATCCTATTTTATCTTTCAGTAATTACTTTCTGCAGTTCATAAATGTTCCTATGACTCAAGTGTATGGCTCTATTCTTCAAAGGCTAGATTAACTAGTTTCATTTAAGGGCTGCTGGTTGCATCATTTCACATAGAAGTCTGAAATAAATGATCTTGAATATTTCACCAGCATCAAGTTAACAGTTCATTTCTTGCGCTTTAAATAATCTTCACTGCAGTGTTGTTCTACTTACATGAGGCTTGCCAAATTGGATTTAAGGATTTAGAAGTTGAGTTTATTCTCCTTAAACAAGCGTAAAGTGTAAAGCAAACTATTTTGTTTCACACCTGCTTTATTAATTTTTTTTCAGGCATTTACTGATTTATTTCATGTACTCTGAATCAGAAACAGGTTTACAGAAAGGAAATGATTCCAATCATTTTGTTATGTCAGTGCTAAAATATTGAAAGCATTTGCTAGACATTAGAGCCCCAACTATGTGTCATGGGGCCCCATAGACTCCCCTGTTTCTATAATCTCCATCACCAAGGCACTCCCCCTAATCATACAGAATATTATTTGCTTTCATAGAAATTATATAAACATACTTAAAAAACATAATTTTATCCAAATGCATTTGCACAAACGTCCACAACTAATTTCCTAGAAGGGGCAATTTGTCATTTATATCTGCTATACAGTTATCTGCTAGATGTAGTGGCATTTTATTGGGCGAAGAGTTGGTCCACCCAAATTTGATATTTTGCTCTTGGTCAGAAACTGGTGGGTTGTCTTATCTGTTTGGATTGTGGCAAGAGACCTATGTATCCAGCTCCACTTACCTGTTCAAATTATTTCTGTTGGATTTTCCATTTATAGCAGAGCGTTATAAGAGTTTGGCTTTAAGTGTGTTTGTGTTTAAATGTTTTTTATGGCCATCAATATTAAAAATGATTGGATCTTAGACACAAAAGACTCAATTCACATAATAAGGATCTTTATATTTAGGTATGTGACTGTAATTGTCAAATCTATTAACTCTTATCTGAAAGTAATGGTAATTTTATGATATTAAGGATGCTTATTTAGGTGTATTAGCTTTGTAAATTAAGTCTGAGGTCTTTTGACTTTTCTGTAGAAGGCTCACCAAACACACTAAAGGTACTTTGCTGTTCAATAACACTTGGATTGCTTACAGAATTTTAGCAGCCTAGGACAAATCAACAGTCATTTTTTTAGTTTTGGATAGAGTGTAAAAGGGTTAAAACCTTTGTCAGGTTTTTTTGTTTGCTGTATGTATCCTAGCTAGGGAGATTCACCAGTCTGTTTGTGCTGGTAACTCTTGACACGGGGACTACATGTGAGAGAAAATGTAACATTTTAAGTTGCTACCAGAATAGAAGGAGAGGGGGAATTTTTCAATTCGTTCTGGTGACATACATCTAAAATGGGATTTACCTTACTCTAGAGAGATTTTCCCTCACTTCCTTTTATAACTACAGGACAGGAAGTCAATAATGGAGATTTGTTTTACTGATGTAAAAAAAACTGACAAGGGCTTTAGCAACTCCCTACTCTAGCCCTCAAAAAAACAGTTTTGACTGTAGATACACTTTATTATTATTTCTGCAGGTAGGTTGTGAATGTATAGCATTAGGAGGTCTCTAAAAAAAAAAGAGGTTTGTCAGCCAAATCTTTCCATTTCAGGATCCCATGCTCTACATTTCTGCCTTCAACTGCAAAGTTAAATGCCCACCCTCTGCAATTATTTATAGTAGTACTTACTCATCTGCATACTATAGGAATAATTAAAGAACACCCATTGCCTGGTATTGAATATTTGATGTGTTAAAGCTGTCTGAATGGACCACAAATATTAAGTGTGTATAACCAGCCCAAAGATGGGGTTCCCTACAGTTTTTTCTTGTGGCTTCACTATGCAGTACAGTAGTGGATGAAGTTGTGTCAGCCCTGCTCAGTTGTCTTTTGCTAAACTTATCAAAACCTAGCCTATGTTCCAAAACATAGAAACGTACAGGGTTATTCACAAAAGGGTGAGGAGTTTGGAGAAGGCTGGAGAAGTGAACAATCTAGGACAATATTGCCAAACTGGAAAGTGAACTGGAGAATTTTTCCATATCTGCTATTTTGGCCTATAGTGTTCACTTCTCCTGCCTTCTCCAAACTCTTCACCCTTTTGTGAATAACTCTGTAACTGTTCTATGGTCTAAGCTGAGAACTAGAAAGGCTAATTAGCCTCTTTTTGAGATAACCCACGAAGTGCGCACAGGTCATAGGACAGATGTGAATTAATGACATGATCACCAGTTGTTTTTCTGTACTTATTAAACAGATACAAAAACAATGCCTTTAATTATATTTTAACAGACAAACAGTTAGCAAAGGGAAGTTCAATAATACATGCTTATTATTGTTAAACCCTCATTGTTTTTAACTTTGGTGATTACAGCTTGGAAACTTTATAAATTGTTGGTTCTCTATTGTTTTGCCTGTTGGTGCAATTACATCATGCTGTTTCAATCTCGAATCATCCTCTGTATTGTTCTACTGAAATATAGTGAGAACATGTAGAATATATAGAGAATACTGTTATAATTGGCAGTAATCACAGTAGTAGACAGCAAAAGATTGAAAAAAACCTTCTTCTGATAAATATATACTTATATTTTTATCCATAGGTCTGTTTTAATATCACTCCACATGAAGGCACAACTCTTTTTGAAGTTTTGCATCTTGGTCTTGAAAAATACCTTGATGATTTAAATCAGATCAGCTCTCAAGCTAGTAAAGAGTACGCTCTGGAGAAAGCACTGAACAAAATGGAAACGGATTGGGAGGATGTGTGCTTCATCTTTTCACCCTACAAAGATGGAAATAGCCATGTACTAGCCGCTGTTGATGAAATTCAGGTGAACTACTTTCATAGTAATATTAAGTTACACTATGACCTGTAATCCATTTATTAGGATGATTATGTTTACATTTTCTGAAAAGATTGATTATACCCATGAAAAAATGAGAGTCTCTTTTTTTGTGTATGTGTTCAGACAGCCCAGTACTTCCACACAATAGACTATTAATTTTCTCTTCACACTTTTTCTTTTTATTTGACACCTGAAATTGGTTGGTTGCATACAATGCACACCAATGCACACCAACGTTCGATGCAGTATGTTGGTAGTGATTAGAGACATTTTATGGAGTTATGACACATGCTCTAATCCATTTTTCCTTCATGCCTCAAGCACACTTTAGAAAAGTATACCCATAGGTTTGCTGAGCTAGATATTCGCATAGTCATATTTCAAAATGCCATATCTATAGCTAGCAGGAAAGCTGCTGGACAATATCTGGAAATAAAATATCTTAATTGAGACTTTTCTATAGATTCTTTTCCTGTATAAGGAAAATCTATTTGTAAGTAGTGCTGTTGGCTATTGCCCAATGGCACATATCAAGATATATGAGGCATTGCAGGGTGTATAGTAATGCAATACCCCAGTTTGATTTATCCATTTACTCTAAAGTTCTTTGTTTGCATTATTTTAAATAATCATTTGCAATAACGTTTTAAGCTGCAAAGTTTCTTGCCTACCAACTGTTCGGAGTTCTATAGTTCTGTTACTTACCTTTCTAGTGTATCCTCCACCTTGTTACGCATTTACCTCTTCAGTGCTCCATCCTTGTCTTGCTTTTTTGCTTTTTTTACTTGTATGTGCACTCCTTATGTGCATTTGCTTCTTGGATCTGCTTTTTGTGCCTAATAATCTGTGGATCCTGTTGTTCTATACCTACATGTACCACACACTCCCTGTGTGCATTTACCTCTTTGACCTGCACTTCATATTTAACCTTCTGCGATTCTGTATCTCTTTTTGTACACACATGCAATGCACATCTCTTGCTTGTCTTTGTATCTTGTTACCTACGTTCTCCTAGTGTACCTCTAAGTTATTCAATTTTCCTGTTTGTCATTGTCTCCTGTGTCCTTGCGCTGCTTCCCTCTTCGGTGTACCCTGTGCTGTGTGTTTTCCACCTTTGCTTCTGTCTCTCTCTGCTTGTTCCTATACTCCTCCTCCTGGTTTCAAGTTTCTCCCCCACCTGTCTCTGTATCCCCGGTGCTTCCTCTAGTCCTTTTGTCTGTGTGGGTGTGGTAAGAGGCCGCAACCTGGAAGGTGTCCAGCAGCCAATCATCCTCACCATTAGAGGCTCCATAGAAGACCTAGCCCTTCTTAGATTCTGTGCCTCTAGTGTGTCCCTGATAATGCACAGACCTTTAGTTTCTAAGTTCTCTGTGTCCTACATTCCAGATATCCCTCCTGTCTGTGACCCCAATCTGCTCTACAAGTCCTGGAGCACTCATGCCCTAGTGCCCTGGTCTGCAGGCCGTGACAGTATATAGTATATAACAAGCGGTAACTTTTCAGTTCACTGTAATAAGATAAGATTAGCTGAATCTGTGACTTTTACTTACTTGCTATATAAACCAAATAAATCAATATGTGTTAACTTATTTAAGAACGTTTGAAGCCAACAAAGTTGATTTTCGGTTCTTCCTTGTGGAAAACTGTGTTTTATGTTTGAGAAATAATGTTTAGGGGTTTATTGCTTCTTAAACTTTTCCCTAGGTACCACTAAGTGGCCATATTTTCTTGCTTTCAACTTCACCAAAGTTAAATAATTAGAGAAGATCTTAGAATATAATTTACATACTCATGCAAATACCTGGATAAGTAAAAAATTTACAAAGATTTGAGTGAATAAATCAACCCCACCTTTCCAAGTAAATGACTCGATCTGCTCTTATGATCCAATTATATGCACTTGTGCTTACATGCATTTACTCTCCTTTATGTGCATTTACATGCATTTACATACATTTAGATGTATTCAGAGTATCTTATCTGCCTGTGGACACACAGAATTTTATTTTCTCTAAGTGCGATTAAACTGAATGCACCTAAATGCTGGTAAATTCACAGTGCAAATGATACCATTTAAAATCATTACATTAATTTATATGTGTTTAGAAATAAACACATATACATGTATGTATGCAACTGAGAGTGTGAATGAGGGAAATAGAGGACTTTCATTCAAAATAGTCTTGTTCTGATGAACCAGGCTTTTCCACAGCCCTGGTGGCAAAAGAGGTAGTTACGGAATTATAGAAATTGCATGGCCAATAGTAAACAGGGAAAAGGATTCTGGGAGATTCCCATGGTCTAGTTGAAATATACTTGATATATACTTGATGTACTATTACTTCATTTTATATGAACTATATGCAATGTGCAATATAATATATATTATGTGTTTTCTGCATGTGAACTGAACTGTTGGCTTAGAAGCAGCACTGCAAAGATGGGCCTGTTGCTGAATCTTGAATTTGGTGCATCAACTCATTGACTTCAATTAGTAATGTTTAAAAAAATATTTGTGAGACAGTAGTCTATTGGAGAGAGTTAAGAGCAACTTTGAAAATGTTTCTGAGGTCCAATATTAAGTGATATTATGAGCCCCAACTCATAGTAAAATAGCCAATAAAACATAGTTTGGAGGTAGTCTAGCATAGGTATGCAAAATCATAATCATCTGCTTCATTTTCATTTCTCTTCTCCTTGTTCAAGGTTTTGCTAGAAGACCATATTGTAAAAACTACAACCATGAAAGGCTCTCCATTTATTGCACCATTTGAAAAAGAAATATTAGCTTGGGAAGCTAAGTTGGTATGTTGCCTTTTGAGAAGTTCTTGTTGAATTACATCTCCATGCTACATCTCAGATTTCCCCACCCAGTAAAGTCCATGCTTCACTAACTTTCATTATATACAGCTTTCAGGACCAGCTTTGTCATCAGCATTCTGAAGGATATTAAGAAGGGAAAAGGAGTATAAAATGATTTATGTTAAATTGATTTCACTTTAATTTTTATTATGTGAGCCTAAATGCAACATACACAATCACCCAGTAAGAGAGACTCATCCAAGTGTGGCACACAAAGAGGCAGCTTCACTAAGTAGAGCAGAAATCAGGAGATGTGGAGACATTTCTTAACACTATGAAAATCCAATTATGAAAAGTGTTTTTGCTCATATCTGCATTAGAAAGTTTATTTTTAGCGTAATGCCTAGAATTAGTTTGGTCTTTACAAATTTGTTTGTTGTTCAGCGGCACTTGCAGGACACTTTGGATTCCTGGCTCACAGTTCAGATGGCCTGGTTGTATCTGGCGCCGATTTTCAGATCAGCGGATATACGTAATCAAATACCAGTAGAAGGGGCGAAATTTCAAACTGTTGATTTCAATTGGTAAGTTTTCTGCAAACATAAATAGTAGCTTACATGAACAGGGTGAATGCTTAAAGTGTGTGTATAGCTAAAGCTTGAGCAGATGTCGCCAGCGCAGGTGTCTACATTGGAAGATTTTCCCTCACCTCTTGTTCAGGGGACAACTCCATAGGTTAATTATAACCTAGGTTAATTATTAGAGTCCAAATAGAGTATAACATGTATATTTGTGTATCCATGCATGTTTATTTTTTGCTTGAAAACACGTAATCTAAAACAAATGACCTTTTCTTTCAGTGGCAATACTGTTTCAGCACAAGCTTCCTCACACACATTTGTATTGCACAGTAGGGGGTCTGTCCAACCAGGGCTGTGTGACTTACCAAGAGCACTGAGTCTATTATCTCTCCCCCTCTCTCTCTCCCCCTCTCTCTCTCTCCCCCTCTCTCTCTTTATTTTTATTGATGGTAATGTTCCTTATCTAGGTATAATATTAGGCTTTGTGATTAGAAGTATCTTGAAGAGTTGTTTTTGCATGCCAAACAACTTTTCCATTTGTTTGTTTCCCTGCTTTAGATACAGTAAAAGTACTTCTAGAACATGTAGGCAGTCATTGCTGACCTCTCCACCTGATAATTCAATTTCCTTGGCTGCTATGCTTCCCTGTAGGTTTTAATAATTTAGTCACTAACCAGAAATAGGTATTGAATTAAGGAATCCTAGCTATGCATGCATGTTTCAGGTCATTGAGTTTTGAAGGCAGATACAGCCAGGCAAATAACATTTTAGGGGCTCAGAAATGACAGTCTCCATATTTATCTCAGTACAGGTTTCCTTCAAAGGGAGATTGTGGCTTCTGTGGGTAACATAGTAGATACTTTTTGTATACTGGATATGAACTGTGACTGCTGTCCTCCAGTTATTTTAAGCATACAGTTTTTTTATGGTTGTTCACCTTGGATTTGTAATCTTCTCTTTGCTGAAAACCTCTATTCTACATCTGTTTGGATTTTATTTTGACTATTCCCTGTCTCCCTTGTTTCATTAGTGACATTTTTTTTCTTTGCTCTTTTATACCTTTTTTTGTTTTAATATCTCCTTCATTTCATAATTATTCTGTTTTTTACTGATGCTTTCAAAAGACATCATAAGCCAAAGTCATTAATTTTCTCTTAGAAGCCTTTCTCTATGTAAGAGACCTTTGAAGTCTGAAATTTTAAGCAGCTGACATATTTGTAGTCCATATTGTTGCCTCAGCCAGTGCTAACAAAATTTTTAAGAAATAATTCGCATTTGACACTTTTCACCATATGATTTCTAAATGGTGTACAGTGTTGAATTTGTATATTGGGTACATTTTTATACTATTTATGGACTAAAGAATGTCTTCAATTGTTACCAAGTATGGCAAGCCACTATCCTTTAAAAAATACTGAAAAAAATACTTATTGTTTCTGATGTTCTGCAGCTGCTTTTGTAGAAGTTAGTGTTAAGGTTAATAGTAACAGTTTTAAATGTATAGATGATGCGCATGGCTAGACTAAAGTATTTGCCACTGGTCTCCATTTTTGGGATTAATAAAATTGAGATATGTGTGCATTACTGTCTGATATTTACAATTACAGATATCACTGTTAATTTAGCAAAGAGACTTAGATTTAATGGGACAACCTAGAGATTATTGTCGTGCAAATGTCAGACCTCTTCTGATTAGGCTGCTCTGTATTTTAGCAGGGCTGCTTTAAAACAGAATTCCAGCCATTCTTCGATGGCTGAATGAAATGGCATCAGTGAGTTTATTTTTAGTTGTTGATTTCCTCACTCCATCACTAATAGCTATGATCATTGAAACAGCATATCTGGTCAATGGGAAGCTATAAATACACTTTTATGTTAACAAAGTGGGGGAAGAGTTAGAACAACCGTGGGGTTTATGTTACATTTTTGCCATCCCATTTAAACCACGCTTTCCGTGAACACATGGCAAAGTGAATGTTTTTGTGCGGCTTTGGTACGCATTCACAAATCTGTGCTTGCGTTGCCATTAACATGCAATGCATGTAGCAAAATCTGCTACATGAGCTTTTTTGCATAGTTTGTCGCACATACAGGTCGCACATACAGGTCCCATTGAACTCAATAAGAAAGTGCGGCAAATGCGGCACTTAAACGCACACAAACAAGCAGGAATGTGTGTGAAGATGACGCATATTCATGGAACGCACATGTGTGAATGTGGGCTAAATGATTGTTTGAGTTCCTGTCTCAGTGGCAGTGGTTAATTCAATTAGAAGTGAGCAGAAACCTATTTGACAAAGATCCAAATGCCAAGTAACAAAATCTGATCTAGGTTTTAACTGTTCACTTCTCCAAACTCTTCCCCCCTTTGTGAATAATCCTGTTAATAATAACATTGAACAATTGCTGTATCCTAAAATCCAGAGGCAAGATAAGTATACAGTATATTAGCCATGGGCCAGCCAGCAAAAGTGAATTTAAACCAGATTGTAATAGAAACTTAGAGCTGATGCTCTGAAATAGTTTACATATAAGCATGCAGGTAACCAAAGAGCATAATAATTCTAAATTAGACCTAGTTAAAGAAAATGTAAAACTATGTGTCTATGTAGACCAAGAAATTACACCGCCAAACAGCTCTTCTCCCATAAGTTAGAAAAGTAAATGAGGCTATGATTCATTTTTCCTGTTTAGAACAGAAGTATATGTAACTATATAGTTAGCCAAAAATATGATTAAAGTCAAGAGTCTATTCTGTTTCCTAATAACTCTTATAACTGGCTCCAAAGGTAAAACATAAAAATATTGCCAATGATCCAGCTGTTTTATATTGTAGTTAACAGCAAGATATCTAAACTGGACAAAATGCACTTGTATGACATCGGTTTAAGGACTAACGTGCATAATGGCCAGGACATAAAAGAAGAAAATGCACAATAATGTTGATTCATGTGTCTTATCCTTAGAATCCTATTGGATTTAATATCCATAAAGGTGCTTGTCGTATGGTATTAATCATGAGTTAGCAGAAGTGTTTAAACCATTTACCTACAAACATTACCCCACATGGAGAGCTTCAGTATAATTGCTATAATTATGCACACCTCTGTACCACCTCAACTGCTCTCGAACACCATCATTTATGGTAATGCTGCATGGTAATGAGATCACTTATGCCTGGATTACACTGTGAATTACCTGGGAAAACTATGCAGGTAATTCACAGTGTAATAGAAAGGGAATTATTAGTTGATACCTCCTCTTTTTCTATTGCACACAGTTACAAAAAATAGATAATTGGCTTATTAAAGAACCATGAAATCCTATTTAGTTTACATATATTCCTTAGTTTGCAAAATAAAACACAGTTATGATTCAGTTTAGTTATTATGTAGTTAAAAGTTACTGTGCTGCAAATTAATATGATTTGCAAGAATATCCTTTAATTACAGTCCTACCTAGCATTTAACAACCTGCTGCACTTTTCATTATTTGTGTTTTGTTGCATTCTTTATTGCCATGAGTGCCAGCTGAATAGTTATATTACAAGGTATATGTTTTCTTGATTATTCTAGTAAATTAGATGTGCATTGCAATCTCACAATATAAAATTTAATTTGAATAAGGTTTAGAAGTAATTATCTTGGCATTTTCTGTTTTATTCTTCTACAGAAACTCAGGTAGCATTTTTTTAAACTGCTGGTTTATCTGTAAAGTGTTATCTGTTCCCTTTTGAGAAATTTGATTGAGATTGAGGAGTCTAGAATATTATGTAAACCAGTGGCGGAACTAATAACCAAAGGGCCCTGGTGCAAGATTTTATCTTGGGCCCCCTCCCAAGACGGGGGTTTGCAGGAGCGGATTACACTGGCCCCCGCTTCCCCCCCCCCAGCGGTCTCTAATGTTGCAGTAGCATGCTGGACTTACCTGAGACCCTGCAGAACACACCATAGATCCCGTATAGCCCAACTGAGACTCTCTATGGTGGGCTCTGCAGGGTCCCAGGTGGGCTGGTCTGGTCATCGGGATGCCGCCTCGGTACAGTTGATACCCCTGTAAGAGGCCCCCCAGACCTCTCACATGGGTACCGGCTATACCCCTCTGATGGCGGTGTTCTATCAAAGGTTGTGACTACGTTAAAATGTGTGACTGGCGACATGGTCACACGTTTTAACGTAATACCACCCAGTTTTTCGGCGGTGGAATGTGTGACCACCAATAGGTGAAGCATTCCAGCGCTTTCCCAGCTGTTCCAGGGCTGATCGGCATCGCAAATCGCATGTGCAGGAGAACCGATCTGCCCTGAAACAGCTGATCGGTCCTGAAATGTCACTTCTATCTGTCTAATTACAAGAAAAAGCATGAAATAGCTGTACACAACTACTGTTAAGTGCAGTAGTGAGATATGATTTAAAGGGATACATATATAAAATATGATTTCTCTTATTCCTTTCCTGCACTGCGCTATGGGGGTCATTTTGCCCATTAGTTTCCTGATAACAGTTTTTGCTTTTTATGACTTAAAGTGAACATATGGGAAATGGGTCAGCCATGCAGGCAAAAGGAAGACAACTTCCAGGACTAATTTATCAGAGTCTGAAGGATAAGTTGTTCTCGTTGACCGACAGCCATTAGTAACATTTAGGCTTGCTCACACAACATTATACCATGCGCGTTGTTGTGTCATTCATTTGAACGACTCCCCAACGCACATCCTGGTGGTCATGCATTGCAGCGCATGGTATTGTGGTATTGGTATTGTGGTATTGTGGTACTATGTGTTGGGTTGCAATGCACAGCTGCTGGGAGGTGCATTGGGGTGTCATTCAAATGAATGGCAAAGCAACACACCACACGCTAAACGTTTAATGCAATGCTTAGTTGTGATGAAACCCTAAAAAGGGAACGGTAAAACACTGCTGTTGGGTAAAAAACATTACTTTTCTTCAGACACTTTAATGAATAAGACCATTGTAGTTGTATTTGCGCTACTCTGGATATCTTTATATATATATTATTTACAATTAGCTTCTTGCTGTTTTCTGCTTCATTTTGAAAAACATAATTTAAAAAAGAGAGATTGCATTTACTGATTTTTGGTTGAAATAGCCCAGAACTCATCAATTTGGGTAAAAATATTTTGCATTTCATCTGATAGAGAACCAATGTTTAATTAAGCAGAATGTAGTCCTGCAATCAAATTTAATATATTTATTTTACTTTAAAATGTTGATTTCATGTTTTCCCAAACAATTTCTGTTTGAGGACTGCTATAATAAAATGTAAGCATGCATTTTTTGTGCTTTTATTGTCTATTCATGTTCAAAATAATCCTGTTCACTGCTCAAGGTCACTTATATATGTAAATTGTGACTTCCTTACATGATCCGGATTACAATATCCTTTGTATATACAGTATATGACAGTGGACAGTAATTAGAGACTATAATACACATAAAAGAATTGAAAAGGTGCATAGATGGTAGTGGAAACAAGCATTTTCTGATTAATTTCTCCCATGTTGTCTATTGTCTTCACATACTAGCCACATTTTGATGTATTAATAGACCTCATTCTTTACAGGTGTTTGTTGTTGTCTTTGCATTAGTCTTATGTTGTTTCCACTGCCATCATTAAAGGCCACAGAGTCCTCTTAATGAGTTGTCTCATTTCCCAAGGAAGAAAAAAAGAAGCTGTGTTGATTTATTGAACTGGTTAGAGCAAATAATAGAACGGGATCAATCCAACATTGTGTGTTAATAACACTGAACAAAGCTCAGTCATAATTAGATGGACGAAGGAGTTTCCTTGTCCATTGCAGTTACAAATGAAAGCCCCTCACCAAAGTGTCTTGAAGAATAATGCATTCAACGTCAGAAGAATTACTGGGTTGCACTTTCTATTTATTTGAAGCTTAAAAAGCAGCTGGGTTTTTGTAAAAAGCCATGGATGTGGCAGTCATAGTTAAAGGTATGGGGGGAAAAAAATCACCCCTTGTTTTGTAATAAGGGGATTTTCAATTTGAAAGAGAAAGGGCCTGTTGTGTGAAGTATGGTTATAACATTTGGTATACTCTATCTCGCCCACCAGGAGGCTAATAATGAGGGAGTCTGTGGAGAAGGCCAATGCCATGAGGGTTATCTCACAGCCCCAGATGCTGGATAAGTTGAAGGAGGCAGAATTGCTGTTGGATGACATTCAGAAAGGCCTGAATGATTATCTGGAGAAGAAAAGGCTATTCTTTCCAAGGTAAACAGTCAATTTTTTTCTGTCAGCTGTGCATGTTTGTCTAAAATATGTCTGTTTGAATGTCACTCATGTTGCTCTTTTCTCCTGTTTTCCTGTTTCCTATAAATTCCTGTCAGGTTTTTCTTTCTGTCCAATGATGAGCTGATAGAAATACTTTCAGAGACAAAAGATCCACTTAGAGTTCAGCCACACCTTAAGAAATGCTTTGAAGGCATCGCAAAACTCACGTTTAATCCCAAGAAGGAAATCACTCACATGGAGTCAGCAGAGAAAGAAAAAGTGGAGCTTGTGACGAGAATAATTCCAGCAAATGCCAAGGGGCTAGTTGAGCAATGGCTTCATGAGGTGAATATATTTAGTCTTCGCTTTGATGTCATTTGTATGCAGTATACATTTTCTATGAGTTGATTACCACTATATCTTTGACCTGTGGTCGTGCCATGATATCTTGCTACAAGTGGCACTTTTTCAAAGCCAGTCTGTTGAAATGCTATCATATCTGGAATAACTGAATACTGATCTATAGGTAGCTTCAAACTAGCTAATACAGCTTTATCAGTAGCAGAATGCAGAGTTACAAGAGATATGTAACAAATCTGACATTTTTCTGTACCGGGATTACAGGAAGCCTGAAAACATGAGAATGCGAAGTGAGTAGGCAATACTGGAAGCCTCCCTGTGCAGAACAATTATGTACAGAGTTTCCTGGTGTTGGCATGACATGACGTCACTATTACAAATATGATGATGTAATCATGGCTCTACTCCAATTATGTAATTGTGGAACTCAAGCATTTGGGTTCAAACGTACACATATATTTTGAAAGTGGTTGTGAAGTGTCTTGCGGTACAGGAGGATTAGATTGTAACGTTATTGCAACAGTGAAACATAAATAAATAATTACAACAAATAGGTTTTTACTGTACATAGTATATTTACGAAGTGGTGATAATAAACAAAGATGACATTCAGATGATCTTATAGTGACTGAATATATGACCAATAAGTAGGCAAACTAATATTAATGGACGATAAGAACATGAATGGGTCATTAGGGTAGGAGCTGCACAGAGTACTGAACCTTCTCTAGTTGAAAGTAATCTACATTTAGCTAGTCATGGCATTCATCCTAACAAAAGGACTGTCTTACTTGCCTGCATTGTTAGCTGTATACCCTAGACTAGTTCTGTTCTTGCACAACAGTTTTTCTCCCAACTATCAGTGATCTCAGTGGCATACAAGTTTAATGGACCGTCTCCATCAAATTTGTAATCTCTGAAATCCTGGAAAAGTGATTAGTTGAAAGATAATATGGAGCCTTCCTTGCTCAACATTTTTCTTTAATGTATCATGAGGAGCAGGCAAATCATTGCTTTTGAAGGCCAGGTCTGAGGAGCATGGTCCTGCTTGCCAGAGATAAAAAATCATCACTGGTTAGTGTTATGTTAACAGATTAATAACATTAACAAACAATTTCTGATATAAAAACATGGCAGTAGTGTTGCTTAGTGAAAGTACCTGTAACCTTAGTATATGATGTCATCAGTGCTATCATCTACCTATACTGTATGTTTTTAAAGAGCTATTTGTAATTCATTGATAACATTTGTATTCACATTCTAGTACAATGTGTCAGAAATGATAAATCAGTGAGAACATGTGATATATTTCAATGCAGGTTTCAGTTTGAAAGATGATTATTTTTCTAACCAAGTACAGCGCATATGATTTCTCCATACTATATATTATTGATATTGATCATTTTAAAACTGAGATTTTTCCATAAATCAGTAAACATAGTTGTATCAAGCATATGGACCTGCACCTAGCGTATTCTAAACTCTTTACCTATTTCTTGTGGTTTACCTTTGCTAAATGTACACATGACTTTGATCCAAGTCAAAGTCTTTCTTACACATATGGAAACATGTCATAAGATTTATTAAAAGGTGCTGAGCATCTGTTAAACATTATTTTGTTACTTTGCTTTAAATCCCTGTCTTATATTTTATCTGGTGTAGGCTTGTTAAAAAAGAAGTAGCTATACTATATAATTAATTGTTCACAGCCAAAAGGCTAAACTGGACTTTTGTGGGTTGTTAAAAGAGATCTGTGAGGAATGCAATTCAGAGGTTTCTCTGCTTACAGCCGTTCAGCGTTCACCATAGGGTTATTGCTCAAATGCATTAATCTACAGAGAGTTTGTAATTGAGCTGAAGTGCTAGAGCAACAAATGGCATCCCAGACTTCTAGAAAAACAAATGTCAGCATAAATCTCAACTATCTTTGAGTGAGGCTTCCCAATTTATTTCAAGAAGCAGATCAGAGCACACAGGTGCCATAGTGATAAAGTGGGACTCCCCTTCATCACATCAGATGCAGGACTTAAGCTGACCATACACCTTACAATTATTGTTTGATTTCTATTGGCCCATCATCAAACCCCTGTTCGATTTTCCGCTTGAATACCCCCTCATGCACAGCTCAATGTAATTTCGATTATCGTTCGTTAGCAATACTAACTGGCTGAATTTCGTTGATAGACAGAATAGATTTTCCTTTGTGCAGTGTTCCTGTTGCGATTTTTGCCTTACAAAAACGCCACTAATCCATCAAATTTCATACGATTCGAGAAAGGTTTTCCAGCCTGACTGATCGAGGAAATCCCACCAGTTGTACAGTAATCATGATCATTCACTTTCCATCAACTGGCCGATTATTGTACGAAAACCAGATTGCTTTCGTTTTCAAACTCTAATCGCAAGGTGTATGGGCACCTTAAGGAGGATAACCCAACCCTGATTTGTTTCTTGTGCCTATTTTCATTGGTCTGATTTTTTTCATTGAATGGGTAAGCTTTCACTAAATAGCAGTTAAAGTGTTTGCTGGCATTTTTTTCCCTGATGTTTACAGCTCTTGCAATGCAAAAATATATTAATAATTCTGTCATCATTACTTTGTAACATTAGTTCAACTGTGTAATAGACAGGCAGGTTTGTACACATTTTCCTATATTTTGCTATATATGAGCTGATAGATTCCATCAGTTTGCCTGCATATCAAGGTACAAGCTATTCAATGTAAAATCATGACTGACAACATTTTTGCATGATAGAATCTGCACTGACAGTCATGAAGTTCATATTAATGTTCTGTCAGTTCTGTGTCAATCTCCTGTTATTTCTAGTGGAAGATAAGTTAATTCACCTGTGTCACGTTGTGTATTTGTTAGATTCTGGGAGCATGCCGGAGCTCTAACTATATTTGAGACTTAGTGCTATATTTTGTCTTTTGCAATACCTATTCTATGTGACTTCTACTTTTGGGCAATTTTTTACATAAATATTAATATTTTACTAAATATGGAATGCATTTTTCAAAGTAATTGCAATAATGTAATATATTTGGCCTAAGTGGCCAAATGGCCTAATGTAATATATATATTTGGCCTAAAGTGTATGTAAACCCTAACAATCTATATTTCTGTTCAATAAGTGCAACAAAATACCCATTGATCATGCCAGAAATCCAGTGAGCTCCTAACTTCCTGTGCTCTCATCCCTGCACTAAAACCTCAAGCAGTCTTATTAAATCTTCCTAGTTCTTCTTTGTGAACTACAGAACACCCCCCTCTTATGGCGAAATGAATTTGAGGTGTTCTATAGACCAAAATTGAACAGCCTAGTTGACAATGCTGCTCCTCTATAGATGCAGTACAGTGAGTGGGCATTGTTACTCCAGGGCAGGAAGTGTATTACAGGCAGGATGACCAGGTTAATAAAAACAGGATAAAAGTAAACAGATGCAGTCACCACATAAAGGGACTGCTAAGCTGCAATATATGCAATTGTTGTTCTTGGGTCTAGATACATTCTAGAAAACCACAAAAAATGATTTTATTAGAACATAGTTTTCAGTCTACCCAGTATAATGGTATCCTGTTCTTCTTTATGCAACATATACTTCCAACAGTGAGGCAAAAGTGGAAATAGAGGGTAAGTAAGGACAAAAAACAAGGTAAATATTGGAGTCCATATGTGTTTTCAGTACATCACAACCTGTAGACCTTTTATTTTATTAGGCACAGTTAGCCACTTTTCTGCATGATTTAATGTGGACCATCAGTTTTCTTCATCTATTTGTGTTATGATTTTGATAGTCTGTTTTATGTAGAATGAAAGAGAAATGAGCATGTTTTAAGAAACTTCAGCCACAATTAGTATGGATGCTGTGGTATCTGTGTTGTTGCGTCCATTACGAAATGACCAGCCTGACTCTCACATATAGAGAATGCATGTCACATAAATAGTGAGAGGGAAAGTCTTTCTGTCCTAGGTCTATGTCAAAAGGGGTCTTATGTTTTTGTTTTGAAGTTGATCCTGATGTCCTGTTAAGTTCCATGTTCTTGGGTTGGTGGTTCTGCTGTTAAACCAGGCCGGTTTGCTTAAAACCATCTAATACTTGGTTTACTTCAAGAGCCATGGCATAGCTTGGTGCATGTTAGTGTTGTTGTCCTGTCAGTTTAGCTTGTCCTTGGTGTTGTGCCACTTTAGTGGAGAAAGTTGTTTTATTGTGATGTTTGTGTCTTGAAAAATAACTCATTTGACAGTTGCAGTGCTGTTAATTTCTGATGTTACTGTTTCAGTGTGCTTTTTGTCATTGAAATATAGTTTAAAATGTTCAGTAATGTAGCATGAAATTATTGGTTAGTTTGGGAATGGATGTGAAATCATGTGAAGAAAATAAGTATTGCATCCGATCGAGATAAATTCACTGTGGTGTTTTATGGCTTTTTATTCCTATGTGATAGTAATAATGTCTCATGTAGGGATGGAAGCCATGAAATACATTGTGAAAAGTCATCATCTAGAAGGGGGCCATGAGCATGGAAAATGCAATGGCCATGGAGCTAATAGGCATATGTATAAACAGAGTTCAGCCAACATCTCAACATTCTGTGCTCAAACTTATTTTGTTTACACCATGAAAGTTTGAGCACGGTCTATCTACTAAGTTGGAAGTTAGTGGTTATAGTGTAAACTGTATTGGTATAAAACTATGATGTTTCAGAATGCATTTATTTGTTATAGTCAGAGGACTTTGCAATGGTGTGAGGTTGGCGTGCACTGATGTTTTCTGCACATGAGAGCATAGTCATAGCAGGATTCCTTCCTGATTTTTCATAGTTTCTACAAATAAAAAACTTCTTTGATGGGTTGGCTTAAGTTTTGGACACAGCATATCCATTAGAAGGTATTTGTGGCATGAAGTATTGTACATACTACTTTTCAGCAGAAAGTATAATGTGGCTCGTAGTTTTATATATATATTTTCTTTTCTATCT